TCAAAATTTCTATCATTAAAACAAAATATTATTCATAATGAATCGACCAATGTTAGACCTTGTCACTATTCATGATTTCAAAACAAGTAACTCAACAATCTCCAGCAACACCATAATGCAATTAATTACCTATGCTCATAAGTGGTGACCAGGTTCGTGAGGAAATTCTTGCAGTTCTTGTGAGGAGAAGCCGTGACCAGTGGAGTTCAATTCTGGAGGGGGTGTAGGTAGTAATACTGAAGACAATGGGTGAGTTTGCGCAACATGCTTAGATTGATCAGTTAGACACTAACATCGTTGAATACCGGCTTAGTGGTCCAGAGGTTAAGCGGTCCTGAGCGTCGTGTATGCGCACTACCGATGAGTCCCATACTACGACTTGACGGCCGTCCAATGCTTCCAGGTGGTCTAACAATGATTCATTCATGATTTCTAATGTAAAAATAAATTGTTATTAAAATGAGTGTTAATAATCAAGTCATAACCGTGTCTAGTTGACCTTTCAAATTATTCTTATTCTTAAACAAGACTATGTATATGCAATCAGATTGTTTTGAAATGAATTGCACTAATATTTCTGTTAAGTTCGTCACTAGGTACGCTTGAAGCTATTACGAGTTTACCTTAGTCGATAAACGCGAACGAGACAATGAACCAGCGTCCAGGTAGGCTACCTTGAATCCCAAGCTGAAGTAAAAAGGTTTTGTAAGCGTAGAAAGTATATTCTACAAACACCCAGCAATCACACAACACAATCAAGCATACAACTCTCGTTTATTTATACATCATAGAAACGTCCTTAGGACAGTCACAAAAATAGCACACTAAACTACACAGTAGCCAATCACAGCCATGGATTTTCCTGGTGGGAATTGAAATCTCAAGGTCAACTGATTAGCTCATGCTGGCAAACGTGATAACCGAAACAAGGCATTTATCAAGCGAGTTTTGGGTATCTAACATCCCCAACAATTCACTTATTCAGTGCAAACTCAATCAAGTTTTCGTTTCTACGGCTGGGGTAAACACTAAAAAATAAACCCTGAATGATGAGCTGTCTCTATCACAAACTTTATATTCATTAAACAACCTTTTGAAAAAGCACAAGACAAGGAATCGAACTCAAAACCTGAACTCTATCTAGTAGAAGTTTCATTGTTCCTCATATATACGACATGAAACTTCATCAATCCATCATCTATCCATATTGTCATTTGTGTAGTTAGTTAGTATAGATTAATTGAATATGAAACAATTTAAATATTTTTCTATTTTAGAAATTTAAATATTTTCATCAATAAAAACAACGAAAAAAAAAAGAAATTTTTGAAATTTATTGAATTATTTGCGAATAATTAAATAATAATAATATTAATAATAATAATAATAATAATAATAATTTTTCATTCATTTAATAAAAACGTCATTAACAACACACAAAGAGAATCATAAACAACATAATAATTATCTCAACTAATTGTTTGTTTGTTTGTTATTTTTTCGTAAATCATACATTAGAGACACATACAAACACAAAAGCACACAATAACAACAGACGTATACTTTATACAGACATGCACGCCTGCACGCAGACACACACAAACATACATCCATATAAATGGCAATAAACATATAAACATATAAATGCGTGTTCAATTTCAAATTTTCCAATTTTTATTATTTTTTTTCGCTTGTTTAAATTAATAAAACGAGTGTGTGTGTGTGTGTGTAAGAGAGAAAGAGCGGGTAAAATGAAAATTGTTATTTCTCTACTCTTACTACTAGGGGAAGATGTTTAAAAAAATTAACAGAGAGAGAGAGAGAGAGAAGCTTCTATAATTTTAAAAGAGGGAAATAAATTTTCTAACGTTCGAATAAAGTAGAAAAAAAGCTACAAATAATTCACGAAATGCTTCAATTATTATTATTATTATTATTATTATTATTATTATTATTATTATTAATATTTATTAATATTTATTCACTCATTCACTCACACATAATATTTATTAATTTATTCACTTTGTTGTTTGTAGTAGTAGTAGTAGTATATGTTATCGTTGAAAAAAATTTTAAAAAAAAACAGAAAGGAATTATATTCTCTCTTCTCCTTTATGTGATTATTATAGATTAATCGTGCTAGTTATTTAACTAACTAGTTTGTTTGTTAGTTTGTCTGTACAAAATTTAAAAATTAATCTATGAAATTTTTTTTAATTTCCGAATAAATTTTTATTTGATTAAGCTAGAAAAAATTAACGAGGTAGAGAGAGAAGCATTTTGGATAGATAGATAGATAGATAGATAAATAGAGTAATGCTGTAGTATATTTAGGTGGTGGGTTGGCGAGAGAGACAGAGAGAGGGTGCTTTTAACTATCACTGTGTTGTTATTACAATTAGTATCAATAATTAATAATAATAATTATAATAATACTGCTTTCCAAAACAGAACAAAAAAAATCATTCTTTGACAGAACTAAAATGTCTGTATGTCTGTCTGTGTGTGTGTGCGTGTGTAAGTGTGATTTTTTTAGCGAAAACAAAACAAAACATATACATTACAAATGATGATACTCAAGGGTAGTTAGACACATTTTTTTTTAGGAAATTGAAATATTTGAAAATAATATTCATTATTATTATTATTATTATAATTAATATTTTTATTAATTTTCAGGATAATTATATTTCACATTTTCTCTCAATTGAACACAACTCATTAATTCTTTTTTTCTTTCTATCAGAATAATGAAACTCACTATGTAGGCAGTTTAGTTAAAAAAAAATATTTCAAGTATGATGATCTCTTTTATTGTGTGTGTGTGTGTGTGAGTTGTTTGTTCAAGCAGAATTCTAGTGTATTTATTATCTTAATGTGTTTGTTAGTTCATTTGTTGTGTTGTGTTTTGTTGTGTTGCAGTGTGTTATGTTTGTCATCATTATAGTGATATTTTTAAGTCTCACTAGTAGGTGTGTTTGTGTGTGTGTGTGTTTAGTTAGTAGTATATGGATAAATGAATGAAATATTATTATTATTATGATTATTATTCGATTATTTATGGACTCATTTTTCATATTTAAAAATAAATAAAAAAATTAATCTTTTTTTTTCTAATTATTTTGAACTATACACGTCTGTAATTAATTTCTATGACTTTTACTCTCTCTCTTCTCTGCTAATCTCTTCTTCGATAATAGGCGTCTGCATACACACACACACAACATACACTAATAAATTTGATTAGAAAAATTTTTTTTCCTACCTCAATATTTTGTTAGTAATTAAAAAACAAATAAGTATGATTCCTGTCTATCTGTCGATCTGGATGTCTGTCTGTTTCGCGTTTTCTCAAGTTACACAGAGTAATCATAATCATACTGATAAATTTTAATTTGGATAATGAAATAAAAATGAACATTAATAAAATTATTTATGCATGGAAATTGTTGGGGATGTTAGATCCCCAAAACTTGCTTGTTAAATGCCTTATTTTGGATTACACGTTTGCCAGCATGGGCTAATCAGTTGACCTTGAGATTTTTAATTCCCACCAGAAAAATCTATGGCTGTGATTGGCCGCTGTGTATTTTAGTGTGCTATTTTCGTAACTGTCCCAAGGACATTTCTATGATGTATAAATAAACGAGAGTTGTGTGCTTCATTGTGTTGTCTGCTTGCTGGGTGTTTGTAGAATATACTTTCTACGCTTACAAAGCCTTTTTACTTCAGCTCGGGATTCAAGGTAGCCTACCTGGACACTGGTTCATTGTCTCGTTCGAGTTTATCGACTAAGGTGAACTCATAATAGCTTCAAGCATACTTATTGACTAACATAACATGAATATTGGGGAAATGTTTGGTCATATCTTCAAAAGAAAATAGCCAATATCAGTTTTTCATGTACCACTCGATTACAGCATTTTTTCACTCTTACGTTTAACTGGACCAACAGAAAACCAAACATGTAGTTATTAATTACCAGTACTTTGAATTATTATGCTTGTTTTTATAACTCATGTGATGATAATACAGGTAAAATATGAGACCAAAATAGGTGCACAATGATGAAATCTTTTTATATATTATCTAAGTTACTTATTTTTAACTACTTATTAAACAGAGATGAACAGCTGCTGACATTGAAATGTCGGAAACGCGTCTTGTTTTAACTGGCAATCTTCAGCTAGATATGTGGTCTGAGCTACTTATAAGTAGTATATGACGTGAGCGTCAACGTAATGTCTGGCAGCAGAAGATAGGGGAAGATCAAGAAGGGAAGAGTTAGAAAAAAATGGAATTTGTATGAAACGCATGAACAGTGACAATGGATTGATGTTTTTGCAACGGGAACAGTCCAGTTCGATGTGATGAACTGATAATTTGCAAATGAATGATTTACGATATGGTTTTCCGATTTTACTGAGTAACTCTGTAATCTTCGTTAAATACAATTCGGTTGCCCCATATGTGTTTTCGTCCACTACAGATATACCTGCATTTCAAAGTTGATGTTCACTTTGAAATCCATATCTTGTTATGCATTTAACTGCTGAGCCTACTGGTTGGAGCGATGGGCTGAAGATTAATTCATTTTTTACTGGTTTTCCGGTAAATTACAGCCTAAAATACTGAACAGATTTTTCAGTACTTCATACTGTTCAAACTGCTACTTACAATCAAAATATTCCTCATCTATTCAATATTGCAGATTATTCAAATAAATCTTTCGTTTTGATAAATACATTACTTACTTACGCCTGTTAACCCCAATGGAGCATAGGCCGCCCACCAGCAGCATTCTCCAACCAACTCTGTTGTCCTCGGCTTCCCTTTCTAGTTCTGTCCAATGTTTGTTCATTCCTCTCATATCTTTCTCTATTTCTCGGCGTAGTGTGTTCCTTGGCCTTCCTCTTTTTTGATAAATACATAATGAATATTTAAAAAAAAGATTTGAATGCCCTTAATAAAAAAAACTATCTTTGTCTTTCTGATTCAAGGTATAGAATACTTTACGCTGATTATAGTCAAACTTTAATGGCTATCGAACAAACTGATGTATATAAAAACAGTTTAAGCACTTTCACAGCAAGTCGACTACGTAGACCCAATGGAGAACATTTCAAATCTAAAGACGAACTACAATTTATTATATTGATTGGATTTCATAGACAAGATCGTGAACAAGCTGAATGTAATGCCACAATAATGAATGTGATGGATTTATTAAGAAAACAGTTATCCTCATGTAGTATGCAATAACTTCAGGCTTTTTTTCACTCAAAAACTTTAACTACTATCTTGTATATTTAGTAGTATAGTGTTGTTAAAGGAAATGTAATAACTGGATGATTTCAGTCCAATATCCTATGATCGAAAAGATAGTGAAGTCTTAAAGATGTGATGTATTTCATCAAAAAGTGAATTTTTGTAGACTTTTTTTGAAGATGAAATGATAAGTATTTGTTTATACTGTTTATTTAAGAATAAGATTTTTTAAGATTAGTATTTTTCTTTGTAAGGTTCCTTTTGTAGGATATAGGATTTACTGATTCTATTCTCAGTACAAATCCTTTACTTGAATTTGAAACTGGCATTCACTCACCCACTATAAAAGGGCCCCGGGTAGAATTACTTTCGAAATGCAAAAGTTATCAATTAAACAAAAAAATTTATTAGTTTTGAATAAATAGACTAATGTGGAATGATAAGTTAATGTATCTCTGCTAATGAAGTCAGCGTTTTTTCTTCATATATTTATTTATTCATCGTTAACACATCCAATGTTTATATGATTTACGATTATGATCGAATTGATTGAAGCATTCTCTTTAATTTTATTCAAAATGCCATCAGAAACGGAAAGCTTATTGGTTTTTTTCAAGACAAATTCTTAGACTAAAATTTTTTACTTAAAATTAAGTTTTGCAATCATATATTCACCCTAGTAGCTGGATTATGAAGACGTCAACATCTGGAGGGAAGCATGATATACAGTGGACAATCAGGATGCAGCTGGACTTCTCGGATGATCTGTCTCATCCATAGCACATGCAAGAACAAATACAAGAGAAGACGACCAGTGTAGCAGCAGCAGGTCTTAAAATACATAAAAGAAAAAGCAAGATTCTCCGTTAGAACACAACATGCACCAACCAAATCACTCTTGATGGAGATGCCTTAGAGGACGTTAACACCTTTACATATCTGGGCAGCATCATCGACGAGAAAGGTGGATCTGATGCAAATGTGAGGGCGCGGATTGGGAAAGCAAGGGCTGCATTTCTACCATTGTAGAACATCTGGAACACCAAACAACTTTCAACCAAAACCAAAATCAAGATTTTCAATACAAATGTCAACACAGTTCTACTGTATGGAGCGGAAACTTGCAGAACTACGAAAGGCATCATCCAGAAGATACAAGTGTTTATTAACAGTTGTCTACTCAAAATATTTCGGATTCGTTGACCAGACATGATTAGCACCAACGTACTGTGGAAGGGAACAAACCAGACCCCAGTGGAGGAGGAAATCAGAAAGAAGTGGTGAAAGTGGATAGGACACACACTGCGGAAGGCAACCAACTGTGTCGCAAGACAAGCCCTCACTTTGAACCCTCAAGTTAAAAGGAAAAGAGGAAGGCCAAGGAACACATTACGCCGAGAAATAGAGAAAGATATGAGAGGAATGAACAAACATTGGACAGAATTGGAGAGGGAAGCCCAGGACAGAGTTGGTTGGAGAAAATTGGTGGGCGGCCTATGCTCCATTGGGGTTAACAGGCGTAAGTAAGTAAGTAAGGTTATCTAATGCAACAAGATTATCCCCATTTTTCTCCAGTCAGCAACACATAGTGCGTTCACGAAATAAATAATAACTCATTAGTTCCTCGGTCTCTGCGTCTAGTCAATATTTTAAGAGACTCTATGAAGGACAGTCAAATCCTGACAGATACATTATCACATCTCTGGACATTACCTCCCGTCATTCACTAAACCAAACCAACCAGAAACTTTACGCTGAAGCATGTAGGTTGATAATTGTCCGCACGTAGGTATAAATCCTGTCATTGAAGTTATCTATCGGATCATTCCGAACTCTTTGATTTAAAAATCCGGTTATAACATAAATCAAGAATCATTTAGGACACACATCAATGAATCTAGCCTAGACTACCTGGTTAAGGTCCGCTAAACAATCGTAACCGGTGGTTAGCGACTGAATGAATGATATGGCTCAAAATCGCTTGCAATCGAGCAGATATACCCGTCCTTTCTCTGCTCCCAACTTCCACATGACCTCTTTAAAACTACCTCACTGAGATATAATTCTCGAATCATATTTCCGATTACCGCTAATGCTTCTACTACCTCTATCAATATGGGATTTGTATTGACAATCCCGCCTCTTTGTGCTAATATGATATGGTAACTTGAAATGATGTGCGTATGTACCAAGTCCTACGTTGTTGCTGACTGATTGAAATCTAGCCTTTGTATATGAGGAACGTCTGTACCACCTCATAATTCACTCAACTATTACATCCCTCAAAAAAGATTCCAACTATTTAATTTGCATTACACACGACTTATTAATTACTGGTCATCAATCTCTCAGTTAATACAAAACACAATCTTGTTCAAATATCTATTGTTGTGTAACTTGGTTATGATAATTAACCAACTATGCAATCTCATTTTCATGTTCAGTTTTTTGTATCTGTGGCGTTGCTTACCGATTATCAGTGTAATATGTGGCTAAATCAATTAACCCCCATTTAATTGGTATCAGTTGTGTACCACTTAATTGTAAAACTAACTGAACAAAAAAATTCCCTCACTCAAATAGTATTTTCAATGTCTCAGTGGAAGTACTTAATTCACACATCATTCTAGTATAGTATTTCTGAAATTATCAACTACAAGAGGTATAAATTGTCAGATATTAACACAATGAGTTAAGAAATTGAAAGGATATAGAAGGAAAATATAGTCTATAACAGAACGCTTAAATTCAAACACCACTGTCTCAGTGATTCTCGTAAATATGATGAAGCCTCCATTTTTTACTATGTAACAGAATAACAACAGAGCTTTTGTACCGCGCAAATTTAGGTAGGTATAAAACTCGATGTAGTGGGTGCTACTCACAAGTTAGCATAATAGTAGTATGTAGTGCAGAGTCGTTCAAAAGTTGCTACCGCATGACCAAAATGCATGGTACGATCAGAGTATATTGACGATCAGTTAGAGATATGGGCGTGGAAAGTCAAAAACCTATTTGTATTGTGAATGGATGTCCGAAGATTACAATTGTGTAATAACCCATTTTTCCATATTCCAAATCAGTCAGTTGCAACGTAAGAACTTCGTACGTATGTACATAAGTTCATGTCGAAATACCACATTAGCACAGAGACGCATTTGTCAAATCAAATCCCATAGTGATAAAGATAGTAGACGTATTAATGGTAATGAAGAAGACTAGGGTTCGAAGATATTATTCAAGAAGTATAATTCAGTGAAATAAGGTTAGAAAGACAAAGGTAGAGGTGTTGACCAATCCAGAAGATTAGGATTTGAGAGAGCTCAAAGAATAGATGCACTTGCGCCATTGCAAACGATTCTGAGCCATGTCGTTCAAGGTCTCTAACCATTGGTGACTTTCGTCTCGCGGACCCCAACCACGTAGTCTACGTCTACCAACATCACTCAGTCCACTAGTCAGTGACTTCATGGATTTCTGCCATGTTTTGGTCTGGCCACCCCTAGCCTTCTTCCAACCTACTACTACACCACAAAACATAGGTAGTCGAGGCAGTCGGTGGTTGGCCATACGTAACACATGTCCCAACCATCTCAACTGATGAAGTTTCACTAATTCATCTATTGACCTACCACCCTTACCTAGTACTCGTTTCCTTACGACAGCACTGCTTACTCGGTTGTCCCACGATACACGAGCAATGCTTCGGAGACATCTATGATCGAAGACTAGTAACCAATGGAAGTCCTCTACTCTTAACAGCCATGTTTCACATCCATATAGGAGAACGGAGCGAACTGCTGTGCAGTTCACTCGTCCTTTGTTTAGTGAACGGATATCTAGACTACTATTGGAAGATTGACATAAAGAAGACAATACTAAATTTAAGGAGTGAAATAGCAGCAGAAAAAAAATGAAATATCTACTATTGATAAACCAAAGAGAAATTTGAATTTACCAAACAGTCCATGTGATTTTTTTTAAGCTAAACTAATTTTATCCACCCCACTAGAATGTACAAGACTACTACTTTATTTTGTTTAAACAAAACTGGAAAACAATAGTAATAATAATAATAATAATAATAATAATAACTAGTGCATTTATTCTTATGAAAGTAAAATATTTGCTTTAGATTATAATTGCACCATACTAATAAAACAATTATAAAAGTATGTATACACATATTATTTATTTATTGTACAGTCTTTACAAAGAGTTATTTTGAGAGCACTTTTAAATGGGATGCTTTCCTCTTGTTCTATATTTTACACACATATATATGCATGTGGTGATCATTGAGTGGATTTTTGTTGTTGTTGTTGCCTTAATTGTTTTTGCCATTGAGCTGCAAATCCTGCAAATTGACCACTACTAAGCAATTGATGAAGACGTTCCACTTCATCCATAGTTCGAGCTCGTTTAATTGCTTCTTGTATAGCATATAGATCTTGATTGGATGCAACTAAAATTCGAAAAACAAATAAACAATATAACTATCACATAGAAGAGTTGTATGAAAAATACATAACACAAGGAGTAAATATCATGTGGAAACCAATTTGGTAGTAATGTGGTGCGAGCTACTTATAAGTAGTATATGACGTGAGTGTCAACGTAATGTCTGGCAGCAGAAGATGGGGGAAGATCAAGAAAGGAAGAGTGGGAACACAATGGAATTTGTATGAAACGCATGAACGTATGAAATGTCACACAATGGATTGATGATGGATTGAAGATTTGCAAATTAACCGTTTACGATATGGTTTTCCAATTTTACTGAGTAACTCTGTAATTTTCGTTAAATACAATTCAGTTGCCTCACCAGTGTTCTCGTTCACTACAGATGTACCTGCATCCCATCAATAATATTCACATTGAAGCTTGAACTCAATGCTTTTTGTCTTTGAACATCATCGTATTTCCTGTGTTCATTAGCTTTTGAGATAGGTAAACATTTTATTTATAAAGATTGGTATTTTCTTTAGTTCGTCAATTTCTCCTACAATATATGTGCATCAACTTAAGCGGAATCACTCGGAAAACCATATCGTAAATCATTAGTTTGCAAAATATCAGTTCATCATATCGAACTGGACTGTTCCTGATGCAAAACATCAATCCATTGTCACTATTCATGCGTTTCATACAAATTCCACTGTTCTTCCAACTCTTCCTTTCTTAATCTTCCCCCATGTTCTGCTGCAAGACCTTACGTTTATACTCACGTCATATATTACTACTGTACAAAAATCTATAGTAAAATACAATAAAGCAAAAATGACATGTCAAACACACTTCATATTTTTGTAAGCATAATTCTCTGATCAGAAGTTGGGATCATAAAAATGTCTATTCAGAAATGGAAAGTAGAATATATACTATCAATGAAGTAGAGTGATGGCTACGACTTTTGGTCTAATAAGTCCCAGATTCAACAAACCCTGTTCTGCCTACTTTTCGGTTTGAGAAACTGGATTGAATCATTAACCCTCACAAAGTATGGCGCTCATAAGCCAACAACAAGCCACATATACATGTGTTAATGTTATTTATGTATCTACACTGAAACAAAGTCTTGACTAGAATTCCAATATTTGAGTTTTATGTTATCCATATTTTTTAAGACTACGAAAGTCAGTTTATAAGGTGATCTCTTTTACAACTGCAATATTTATGATACTATTTTTTTCCGTTTACCAAAACCATTTGCGTATACGAACCACATGGTATGATTAAATGAGAATGTCGACGTTAAGGTCTGTAGATACTTTGAACATCAATTAGTGAATATTTACAATGTGTTATTGTAGTGAAGGAGAACACAGGTGGAGCAACCGAATTGTATTTAGCGAAAATTACAGAGTTACTCAGTAAAATTGGAAAACCATATCGTAAATCGTTAATTTGCAAAATATCAGTCCGTCATATCGAACTGGACTGTTCCTGTTGCTAAACATCAATCCATTGTCACTATTCATGTGTTTTATACAAATTCCATTGTTTTCTAACTCTTCCTTTCTTGATGTTCCCCCATCTTCTGCTGCCAGACATTATGTTGACACTCACGTCATATACTACTTATAAGTAGCGCACACCACATTATGACTGATTTTTTGCATCAACAACCATCTTAATTAAACGCATTGAAACGGGTTAATGCTTTGAATTCATTTTAACTAGAACTACTACATTGGTGAAATAAATGTTTGATTATCATTTTCCCGTCCAATCTATATTGGTACATTGGTACAAAGGGGCACCCAAATGTTTATACGCCACAAAAATCATTGGATTAGTGTGTGTGGGCTGGGTTACTGTTTGGTTGCTCAAACAGAAGTAGGTGGACTCTCTTAGGGAGCACTCCCTGAATTTTTGAACCAAAGGTCTAATCCATAGAGCATTGGAGCGACGTTTGTGGTACCCTTAGGACCTAGGAGCTCATATGCACCATTAGTTTGAAATCAGGATTTTCCAACTTCTCCAGGTGGATCCTCCGTACTTACCAACTCAATTTGAGCACTAGATATTTGCTGTTTTTCGTCCTCTAAGCTTTATAAAGAACAGTGCAGTGACAAGGCAATGAGCAGAACGTCCCTAGTAGTGGCTATTTGCTCGTGACCATATGAGAGCATTGCGAGAGAGCGGACTCTCTCCACTCTCAGTAATAATCAGGGCAGTTAGGGGCTATCCAACCTACTATGGACACTACCAAAGATATCAAACAGCTTACTAATACACAAGTATATTACAAATGTCGCTTTTAAAAGTATTATCATGTGCAGATCGAAAATATTTAATAATATGTTTATACTCAAGTTAACGCCACGGACAGAGTATTTGGATTAAGTCAAAGGTTAATCAAAACGGAACGTAGATATTTTTTTCTGTTTATAACTAAACTTGATAACTGATTGATTAGAATAAAGTAGAACCTAGAACACTGATCTTGTCACTACTTATACGAATGAAAATATGAATTGATACATATATAAACCAACAGTTATAACTTCCAGTAAAATACGCAAATTTTGAGTGGTTATCCATGTTCCCTAATTACGATCACTCTGAAAATCCGTTAACCCGAATGTTCAGTATAAGTCAGTCAGTCAGATGCAACGTAGAACTTGGTACGTAAGTACATCAGTTCATGTTGCCATATCACATCAGCACACAGATATAATTGTCAATTCAAATCCAATAGTAGTAGAGGTAGTAAGGGAATTAGAAGTAATCGGAGAGGTTAGGGTTAGAAGATATTATTCAAGAAGTATGATTAAATGAGAAAAGTTTAGAGAGTCGAAACTAGAGGTGTTGAAGAACCCAGAAGACTAGGATTTGAGAGAACACAAAGAATAAATGCACCGGTGCCATTGCGAACGATTCTGAGCTATGTCATTCAAGGTCTCTGACCATCGATTATTATCATCTCGCGGACCCCAACCAGGTAGTCGACAATTACCGACATGGCTAAGTCCACTCGTCAATGACTTCACGGATTTCTGCCATGTTTTGGTTTGGCCGCCCCTAACTTTCTTCCAACGTATTCCTACACTACAATACAAAGCTCGACGAGGCAGTCGGTGGTTAGGCATACGCAACACATGTCCCAACCACCTCAACTGATGAAGCATTGCTTACTCGGTTGTCCCACGGTATACGAGCAATGCTTCGAAGATACCTATGATCGAAAACCAGTAACCTACGAATATCTTCAGTATAAGTTCTCCAAAATAACAGAACTTCCTAAGTAAGTACTACGTTGATGCTACAAAAGTAGACCATTTTCAATTCTACTTTACCTCAATGAACAGCATATATTGATAGGTGTTTTGACTAGGCATGTGTAATAAATTCTTTCATCTCAATAGATAAAGGTTCATAAATCATTACAATATATATGAAACAAATCAAGTTAACTATAAAAAAAAAAGAAACCATAGTAGTACTAGTCATTTTACACTTACTTGGACGTTTATTTCCTGTTGTAACAGGAGTCGAAGGTGGAGGCATAGGTGTATCCGTTGAATTGACTACCACCAATGTATCCGATTTATTTGAATCATTCTCATCATTTTCCATAGATGTATTTAAAGCAGCAGCAGCAGCAGCAGCAGCAGCGGGGGGAGCATTGTTCTCTTTACTGTCACCATGATGAATCTGTTCATTATTAGATCGTGTTGGTTCAGTTCCAGGAGGAAGAAGATGATTATTATTATTATTATTATTATTATTATTATTTGAATGAATTGGAGCACCAGGTATAAATGTTTTTACAATACTAGTAGCAGGATTTGAATTTTCTACACGTACGGTATTATTAGTTTTCTGATATGATGCTTTAATATTATTCATGCTGTTTGATAAAGCAGGAAGACGTTTAAACATTGATCGAGCTAGTTTACGTTCAGCTTGGGTGACACGACGATAATCTAAAAAGCGAAGCTAAGAATGGGAAAAAAAGAGAGATGTACAACGAGTTTTTCAAGGATATTGAAGAAACAACAATAAAAAAATATTGATTATATGCACAATGTTACTTTTCTATCAGAGCAACTAGATAAAATATCCGGGCGAAACATTGAGCAAATGATGACATAGAGTTAGTTAAGTTATGTACAGTCCGAAATTTAATATGCTTAAGGTTAGATTACAAATGAAAACTTTGGTAAAGTTTAGTCAAAAGCTATATAACCTTAAAGATAATAATGGAATATTTAACATGAGTATATTTTTGAAAAAAAATTCTTAAGATATAACTGTATATTCTACTTAGTCTAATCCAATTTATTTATTTGATTGGCTCCTTATAAATTTACTTCACTGGATAATAACATCTTCGAACCCTAATCTCTCCGATTACTTCTAATACCTTTACTACTTCTACTACTGTGGGATTTGAATTGACAATGTGATATGGCAACTTGAACTACTGTACTTACGTGCAAGGTTCTACGTTGCTGTTGATGATGATGATATTTAAGAATAATGTTTGAAATCATCAATCAATCATTGTTAGACCACCATTAGAAACCTGGAAGCACTGAACGGCCGTTTCGTCCTAGTATGGGACTCATCAGCAGTACGCATCTACGACTCCGGCATCTCTAACTGAAAACATCGTAAAATGTGCTCACTAGTGACTAGCTTCGTGAGGAAATTCTCGGAGTTCTAGTGAGAAGACATGACCAGTGGAGTTCAACCCTGTCGGATGTAGGCAGTAACTACCAAAGACAAATGGGTGAGGTCGCGCAAAATCCCTAGATCAGTCAGAGTTAGACATTAACACCGTTGGATGCTGGCCCAGTGGTCCAGAGGTTAGGCGTTCGCACACAAGACCGAATGTCCTGGTTTCGAATCCTTCAAGTAGTAGGTTTCGTAGATACACATTGCTGATGAGTCTCATACCAGGACGAAATAGTCTATTGGTGCTTCCAGGTTTCTAATGGTGGTCTAACAATGATTGATTGACGATTTCAAATGTGTAAAAACATTAATCTCCATAACTCTAATTGGAAATTAAGAATAATGCTCAAACTGTGTAAAATAAAATATATAGAGCACAAAAACACATCGGTAATACTGCTCCGCTGAAAAGTAGATTTATAATACTAAGTTGAGACTAAGTGCCTTGGCTGTTTGATAATCAAATATCCAATTACAAATGAAAACTGATCTTAGTGAATGAATTTTCTAGCTTCAAGAAATGATTAATTCTTTAGAAGATATGTATTACATAACTTAAAATATTCATACAACTCAGAATTCATATGCGTGAACCAGGCAACGAACATATTGTGAGTAACCTACTAATTGAATACAGACTTGTACGTCGTCAGTCAGGAATAACATTTCGTGAACTTAAATCGTTTGCATGAGCGGTGCAGCATAAATGTGAGAAGAGTTAATTGTGGAGATAAGAGAGATGTTAGGAGGTGGAGGAAGGATTTGATTGTGACCAATTTGGTCTCATGTGTTGTAACGGGTATGAGGGCGGATGTCACTTCCCGACTGCTCACACCATAGAAGGGTGTTTCCTGAGGAACCTAAAAAGGAAGGTAGATTAGTGTTTGCCTTAGAGAGAGTGACCACAGAGCCCAAGGGACAACTGCTTGACGTCGGTCACGCACGGCCTTTTAGGAGTTAAGTGATAGCTCAGCTCTTGCTTAAAGGGCCTTACCATCGGAGAAGGAAATCCATGAGTTAAGGTGAGGTGTGACATTTTTAGGATCAACCTTTTCTAACCCCTCCCTTCCTTGTGAGAAGGCAACATCACTGCAGATTCTGGTTGTCCGAGCGAAACACCTTACTGCTGTCACATCCCTGTGTAGTCAGCAGTAAGACTTTGTCCTGAGACCGTGAGTAGTTGTTTTTAGTCTCATCGTTCTCCAATCGACCTGCCTGGCATGGTAAAATCTACAGGAACATATGTTCCAGCTAATATAGAGCTCGGTTGGGTCGTCACGATAGGCAAGTCCGACCACTACGTCAAGGTAGCAGCTACGGTCGGGCATGTACGTCGTCATGGAATGAATAATCATGTATTGTGAGTACGGCCAAAAATGCATTCCGAAATGATAAGCATGCATTGATATAAACAAGCTAAAATTTACACAGCAATTATTTGATTTAACAGACCAAAAATAAATGATTTCATGATTATGCCAGTATTTTACAAAACTATTAGAGAAACAAGTTCAGTAAAACTATTTAAACCATTTGACTTACAGATGCGACACGGCTGATTACATACAGTCGATAGTTTGCACGCATTGTTACAGGACAATGAAGAAGACTAAGAAAATTTAATTTCTCACATGATGATAAAGGATCCAAATCTTTGAGATCGGAGAGGTAATTACTTGTTAGAATAAGGGTCAAGAGATTCGGTAAATGTTGGCCCAAATCCTCCGCAATACGGGCAATCTAGAAATCACAAAACAAAAACTTTGTAAAACTGAAAATGTTTGTAAGATGAAGGGAAGCACCTGGCTAGTGAACAGATCCATAAATTCTATAATTGCAAGACCAAAACTGGAACGTTAGCTTTTGAAGTGTATTACTACAATATGTTGAATTTATACAACTTGCCTGTGTGCTTTTATTGAAGTCACATATAAGATAACATTTAACCAGTATGCAAAAGTTCTGTAGCATGCTTTTAACATTAATTATTTGCAGTGTGATAACTCCGCCTGGAGTCTCTCTGGAGTTACTACCGGTCCCATCCCCGGATAAAGGAGAGGGGTTGGCGACCATATCCCGTGTAAGACTAACTCCCTAAAAAACGCTCACGGGAACAAATAGTTCGAACCACCTAAACTCAGAACCGGGAGTTGGAAGGTCTTCGTTTAGGAGAGTTGTAGCGTCTCATGACGAAAGCTTAGTTCCTGCAGATACCACGAGGCTGATGCCCCTTTCGACAACAAGGGCAATAATTAATTTAGGTATATGGAATTTTATTACATTGTGAGAGACCAGGAGTCTTCCAAGTTGCTGCGGAAATGAAAGGATACAACCTGGTGGTACTTGGAACCAGTGAAACATATTGAACGCAAATTGGACAATAAAGACTAGACTCAGGATAGTTGCTGTTACACTCCAAACATCAAGAAGAAAATGCCTCACACACAAGGAGTGGCACTGATGCTGTCAAAACAAGCACAAAAGGCACTGATAGGATGGGAATCTCATGGACCCAAGATTTGATAATCCATGTATCCTTCAAAACAAAGAGGGGATCACAATGGACATTATCTGGTGCTATGCGCCTACCAACGATAACAATAAAGATCAATTCTACGAGACTGCAGTCAATCGTAGAGAAATGCCCAACAAAGGACTTGATCATTCTGATGGGAGAATTAAACACCAAGATGAGAATGGACATTTCCTTGCGGTGTCTCTCCTACATCCAGTAAGTCGCAAACGAAAGCGTGCTCGCACTAGAGCATGGTCTGAGTCTAAACAAGTGCTCCAAATTGAGCAGCAGTCTTCAATAAAGCCTCTCCACCGATGGCTTATAGCGATATGATCTAGTTGGGTCCATCGTTGTGACAAATTCGGGGGTCGCCAAGGTCAAGAGATGTTTTTCCTTATGCTTAAAGTTAATATTTGCTAGAAATAGGCGGTTGTCTGAGCATAGTTGCAGCAGACGGTCGCCATTATCTGTTCTTTGAGCCACGACACCATAAGATCCACCTAAGTGTCTTTCCTTTTCACTGAGTCCACCTACTTGAGCAACAAAGTCACCAGCCATTATTGCTATATCAGAGCGCTTAACGTTTTGGAGTTTGGAAGTTTCTGCCAAACTTGCCTTTTATGTTGTCTGAACTGCAGTCAGTGGGAGCGTAGGCAGGTACAATGGAGAGTTTCCCTATCTTTAGTTGAACAGCACACGAGCGAATGTCTACTGCAATCCAGTCTAAGAGAGCTAGTTCCGCCCTAAGACTCAACGCTATACCTACGCCAGCGAGACCCCAGGCGGTAGCATTAGGGTTTTCGGACAAGCCAAGGGCGGCAAAGGAGAGGGACCAGACAACATCCCGGCAGAAGCAATGAGCAGACGTGGCAGCAACTGTGAAAATATTCCGCATTCTCTTCAGCAAGATTTGGGGTGAAGAACAAGTACCAACAGACTGGAAACAAGGGTACTTCACCAATACACCAAAGAAAGGCGATCTCAGCAAGTGTGACAACTACAGAGGCATCAACAGAGTGTGGTTAAACAGAATGAAAGATTCAATAGATGCCGAACTTCGAGATCAACAGGCTGGATTCCGTAAGGATCGATCCTATACCGACCAAATCGAGATACTATGGATCATTGTGAGAGAATCAAGTAAATGGAATTCACCACTATACACTATTTCATTAACGACGATAAAGCATTTGATAGCGTGGAAAGGATGACACTATGAGGGCTTCTCCGACACTAAGGCGTGCCTGAGAAGATAGTCAACATCATACGGAGTTCTCACTATGGACGAAACTGAAAAATTGGGCGCGGAGGACAGTTGACAGACTGGTTCGAGGTCAGGACCGGTTTCAGGCAACGTTGCTTACTCTCACTCTTTCTATTTCTCCTGGTGATCAACTGGATTGTGAAGACGTCGACACGTTATGCCGAGAAACGGACAGACATGAGAAAAGTAGAGAACTGGATGGAACTAGAAAGAAAGGCCCAGGACAGGATACGTTGGAGTAGGCTGATCGGCGGCCTATGCTCTACTAGGGGTAGCAGGAGTAATTTGCGGTGTGATATCGTTATTTTTTTCAAAAGAATAGGACATGTTCATGATACAAATGCATACATCTACTTCAAAGTTGTAACATCACTTCTTAATCAAATATAAGAAACTAGACAAGCCACAAACTGGATTGATGTCCACACTGAAATGGCAGAAACTCAGGTGCGCAAGATGCAGTGTATGTCTATCAGACGAAGCTGATCGTTATTGCGACTTATCAACAAATATATTTATCAGTGGTAGAGCCATTAAATTAAGACAAAATAAATTGCAGAAGTTTTCACCCGTTATTATTCTGGTTGTGTCTAGAAAGCAGTAACGATTTCAAATGTTTGTAGTAAATTCAATAAATCTTTCAGGTAACAGCGCTTACACCAACAAAGTCATTTGTTCCTGTGTCGCATCTCAGAAGTTGCAGCATCAACTGTTAAGTTCAATGGTATAACATGTTGGGCTCAAAACATATCGTATTTTTTTAGAGGTTCGTGGAAAGAACCCCTTTCTGTCTAAAATTAAACCCTATACAAACTGCTGACAATACGATTGAACCATGTGGACGGGTGAGAATACAGTTTCGGATATTTAATAAATGTCTTTGCAATATATATAAACTAGACGTGATGAAACGATGGTCAAATTCTAAGTGATAATACTTTTAACACTCGAGACATACCAAGTTCTATTAAGAGTTATCTTATTAAACCGGGTTTACTATCATTGGGGGAAATACTGACGATTGGTAAACGGGTACATTCAAATGGGTCGAGTCCATTAACTGTAATCTCACTTTTAAGCCAAAACCAACAAAAAGACGGCGTTTACCTTGTTGTTTGTCAGTATTAACGATTTTAGACGTTTCAACACTGGAAATCCATCGAGTTTTCTAATTTCATTATCCGAGAGATCAATAGTATCGAATTGATCCAATGTACAACCCATGTTTTCGATAGCAGGAAATTTGTAACTTTTGAGGTTAAGCTCACGATCTTTAATGGCATTCGTAAACTGTGGCGCATTCTCAACTATTTCAGATGTTATTCTGACCATATTGGAGTAACATGCGCTACAGGGTCTTTTTCGAAATTTCGACGCGTTCCGTGTTATAGGTTCAAACAAGCCGTTAGATATCTAATATCTTTTTCACTAGCTATTATGAACCAGACAACTCACTTGTGCTTATGCTATGGTATTTTGTGATTCTCTGACTTTATTTGATTGTATTTTGTTTACTCAATCTAACTAGGCTTCACGTCTAAGTGATTTCTCTAGATCGATGATATAGTGTAATTTCGAAGTCAAGTAATTCAGTTTTTTATTTTTATAAGACGATTATTCCTTTTCGCTCTATTTCGACACCAATCGGGATAAAAAATGCATTACTTATGACAGTGTTGCTAGATTTTTCTCTTATTTGAAAACTGGTTCATACGTGATTATCAGAGTAGAATAGGACAGTTCGAAGTTTTACATGTTAGCATACTGAATTTAACTACTTATTAATGTAATAGTGAGTTCGTTTTAAGGTCTAGAGAAGAAACATTCAAGCCACAAATAGTCTCCAAAAATGAATGGCAAATAATCTATTATCAGTAAAAATAAGCAAATTTAAGCATAATATGTCATATTTATCATTTTTGCATGAAATTCAGCTTCTAATATTGCTTCTGTTTTTGAGGAAGAGCGTTTGACAGATCTGTGCTACTTCTATTGAGACATGTATTTTGGTCTTTCGAATCATGTTTAACATCTGTAGAAAGGGCTTTTACTAATTTTGAATTATCATTAGAACGACTTCCATTTTAATGAATAAACTGGATACAAGCCTGGAATTCCTGCAGTCGAACGGACGTACAGTAGTTCCATAAACGAACTCTGCATAGCAACTGTCTATCTTAAACTCAACACGACTAATGGGAGATTACTGGTCCAGTCATTGTTGTTCATAACAGTTGTAAGGGAGGCTTTAAGTTGACGGTGTAGTCTCTCTACCATATCATTGACCATCGGATAGTATAATGTTGTGCGAGTACATTGGACTCCGAAAAGTACAGTGAGTTGTTGTAAGAGACAACTTTCTAACTGTGCTCCTTTGTCGTTTGTAATATTAGCAGGCACTCCATAACATGAGATCCAATGCTCGACTAAAGTTTTAGCTATAGTCTCTGCTGAAATGTTTTTTATGTGCACCAATACAGGTCATCACGTGAATATAAGTGGAGCGATTGGAAATCGGTAGTGGTTCGACAATATCGATATTTATATGCTCGAATCAGCTGTCCAGGTGACGGAAAGAACCTACTGCCGAACCAGTGTGACGAGGAACTTTAAATTTCTGACATATTTTACATGCTCGCGTACAGTTACGAACATTCCGGTTCATACTTGGCCATAAAAAATGCTCGCTGATTAGATTGATCGTGGCCTTAATCCCAGGATGAAGTATATTATGCAGTTTCGAAAACTTCCTATCCAAACGGCTCCGGAATAAACTGTCGTGGTCGGCCTGCAGAAACATCATACATTGTGCTTACGTTTCCGAATGGAATCTCTCGGAATACCAAATAAATCATATTGGATGATCTTAGCCTGCCTAACTCAACATCCATATTTAGCAATGCTGCAAGTTTTTGATAATCAGTGTGGGATTGGATGAGAGCGTTAATCATCGTTCTCGGTAATGCATCTGCTACTTTGTTATTATGGCCCTCAATAAATTGTAAGTCAGATGTATGTTGGGAAATAAATTCCAGTTGTCGAATTTCCCTCCACGAATAATCATCTTGATTGGCGTTTAGTGCTTTCTTGAGGGTTTTATGATCTACACTGTGTAAGTGGTACTCTCAAGCATATTTCGGAAATGCTTTATGGTCAAGTAAATTGCTAGGGATTCTCTTCCGAGCTTACTGTATCTCGTTTGAGTGGGAGTTAATCTCTGAGAAAAATGAAATCGGTTTCCATGTGCCGTTTATGAACTGCTGCAATACGGCTCCAACTGCAATGTTCGATGCTTCAGTTATGACGGCTATGGCGCTTCGCTCTTTCGTCGTACTAACATTGTCTCCTCATTCAGTACTCGCCTGGCGTTCATAAGTGGGTTTTTCGTTATTGTGGTGTTTCAGTGTATGTTTGAGATCAGTGATATCGAATGACACTATAGTCAGCGTATCCGTTTATAAGTGACTTAGATGGGTTGTTTTTGTCTCTTGACACCACTAAATTCATAGATACCTAGTCAGTGATTACTCCTCTTATCTCCACTGTACGGCCTCTGTTCAGGAGCTGGTTTCGTTTGGAATCTACCGATAAGTCGAAGTTCTTTAAGAAATCAATACCACTTAAATGAATGGATACATCCGCTATGGAAAACGCACAGCGGAGTGAAATGTTTCGACTAAGGTTAACTTTTGCTTTCCACATGTTTTTATGTCAGACTGATCATCTGCTTTGAGTGTTAATAAAGTAATGATATTTCGTCTTTCATCGCTAACGGGAGAAACGACGCTAATCTCTGTTCCTGTGTCTACTGAGAATTGGGCACTCATTTTTCTCTCCGGGACACAGAAAGAAAGATTGGTTTTAGGAGCCACGCCAGCTTTCACAGTCGTTAACGACAACCGCCGGAACGGCTTCATGTTGTATTAATTTTAAATGTGCTTGGTGGTCTATATTTCTCAGCTTTGTCGCCATACGTCTCATGATACCAGCATATTATGGGGGCTGAGAGTTTCCTAGAGCCTGATCGGTTTTTGTCTCTAGATCTACTTAGTGACCATCTTTTTGGTCTGTCGTCCTGATTCATCTTCGTCAGCTTGTGACATAACATCCTAATCTCTTTTTGTAACTTATCGTCTAATGTGGTGTTATGTGTCTGTAGACTCGTGTGTTTCCTTCTGTCATATGTCTTATCAGCTATTTTAACGATGTTGTCTACTTCTGCAACGCTATGACCAACTGCGAGGATCCGCTACCCATTTAGGGGAAGTTGATGGAGCCAAAACTGTAGACACGTTTTTGTAAGGCTTTGTTTGGGAAAATCCCTACATGTATACATTTGTAATATGTTCTTATTGACTGTTTCTGTTCTACATTTTGGTGGTCTGTTTAATTCCGTTTTGAGATGTTAATATTTGTATTTTGTTATAGTTTCTATTTTTTGTACCTTTTTTGAGTTTATATGTTTCTTCTTAAACTGTATTATGTTGTGTGAGTTGATACTTAATCATAGGGAAAGCCGTCTCGAATTTTGATTCTCTGGCGGTTGATAGGCTCATCTGGACTGGAAGGGTGCAATTTGGATCGGGATCGGAGCATTCTTCCAGAATGGGAAACACTTTGTGTTATCATAACAAGACTAACAGCTGTAATATTGTTTAGGTAATGATGTGTACTTACATTTATGATTACTGATAGAACCGTTACTTGCCCAGATCAATTGCTTTTGAATTTCAACTGGGCAAGGCGCGTATCTAAACTCCATAGACAGTTATTCCTAAATCCAAACCTCTGTTTGGATTTGAAAACAACTGAAATAATATGTTACTGTTTAACTTCTCGCACCCTGTTAGGCTCCTCATGTATTTCTCAGTTGTGATGAAGTCCTGTCTTTTATTTACCCGTGATTGAAATGTTACTTGACAGCTTCTTGAGCGGTTAACGAGAAGGCTTTTACCGCAGCCTGCTTTATTAAGTCGTGTGGCTTTTCTGCATCCGTTTAGCTAGAACCGCCTGCACATTGTCGTAAATTCATCCGGAAGCAGTGAGCTTGTGTGGCCAAATTCGTCCCATTACTAATGAATGCCGTTCGCCAGAAAGTAATTTTTAAGTCCAATGAACCAAAATTGTGTGTCTGTGACCCTAAAAGGAGGAATAGAGAGGTTAAGAAACTTCGCAGATGGCGTTCATGGAAGACGCAAGGTGTCGTAATATGAACACATGTTTAAATACAACAATTAATACACAGATAAATGAACTCACGTATAAGGGGAGAAAATTAAATAGACAGTAGTAATACTAATAACTAGTGACAGAATATTTTAATACGAAACAGACTTAATAAACCACAACAGTACAACACTTATGTGTATTATGTCATTACTTGTGATTGATTATATTGCCAAAATGTGTTCAACAATGATTATAAAATATTTTGTATGCGATGAAAATACGATACTAATAGTCCACAACAGTATTTATGGTCCGCAGTAATAATTCATATCGAGATGGAGTAAGCTGATTTTCGTATTTCGACCTATTCGCAGAAAGCCGCATTGCATTGGTTTCTTGTAGTACCTTTTAAACATACCACTTCGCGGGATAACAAATGTTAATCCCGTTACTCTAGTAATAAGATAAAAGACGATTCTAGAGGAAGAAGTATATTTAATGCCAGCCTCGTGATATCGAAATAATCACGAGACTAGGGAACACGAGTGGCTAACAACGATCGAGGAAAGGAGGCCGACAGGCATAGACACGCTTGGCGCGAGAGAGATAGTCTTTACTGCCGATAAACAAGAGGTGTACAATATGACAGTTATTGTCAGAATTAAGTACAATAATGAATGTTTATATTTCAGCGATTGTGCTTTTTTCGTTAAAGTAGACCACTACAGGTTTTTACTGCTTGTTGGTTCTGTAGCGAACGGTATTCTAAATAATCCTAAACTTCGTATCATGCTCGTCTTGATAACAATGGTGATGACAATGGTATATATCATATTAAGAACTCTGAGTCACCGTGACACAATCAACCTAGCAGGATCTCACCACTGCTTGTACGAGGAGATCTGGAAAAATGATGAGTCAAAGATCGTTTGTCACTTCTGTCTAAACTACCTCATCAGTTAAGGTGACTTTATTTTACTTAGTCGACAGCTTCACTGGGAGGCTCGATAACCGCGTACTTATCAATGAATTGCCATCTCGCGGTTGAATGAGCTGCACCTGGTTGATGTTTCACGACTTATCTAACATAATTATTACCATATAATATTGGCCTATCATGCCTATTTCATTGGATTTTATTTTATTCATACTGTTAGTTTAATTAATCCACTTCACAAGAACGCAGCAATTTTATATTTTTAAACTTGAAATTTTACATTGGTTCAAGCATTATCATTAACCAATCCCTTGTTCGAAATTGCTGGAGCTGTCGGCCCCAGAAACATTGCTGCCCTAGGATAAATGCACTCACTCATATCTCATAGTACAAAAACCTGCAGTCTAAATCTGTCGGACAAGTGCAATTGAGTGGTTAAATCATTCCAATTAAAGGCCTTTAGAAACCTGGAATGGCGCAGAAGTAACAAGAAGTCAATTTATGGTAATCAACTAGATTACAGAAACTCACTACAAAGATTTTGGATATATTGGTTATTGATAACAGTCACTTGATTTGAAGTGAGCGGAACACAACTGGGAATGACTAGTGATGGTGAACCCGATTCCAGTTGTGTAATAACAGCTGTTGGTTTCGTATCACAGAGTGGAGCCAAACAACAAAAATATGATATCGTAAGTTGCCAGTTATCTGCTACTATGGTTTTACAACTGTAAATATCGTATATTTTCTCTGATTATCCAAATCTCTTAAGCCTAAAGACAATATCTTAAGTTTTCATATCATTGATGTTAACCAAAGAAAGATCTTCCACTGTAATAGTTATTATTGGTTCACTCTTATGTACCAATTTCTACTCATTTTTTTGTTAAACTTGTTCTTTCTCTGTTCATTTACACCCTCATTTTTTATTGTGTGGCGCATATAGATATTTTGGTGCCTCTTTGTACCAGTATTTCTGTTCTAAATGAAATAAAACAATGGGTATCATCGAAAGGTAATTTCAGCTGTGTAGGCTTAACGTGTGGTTAAATTTCTTTGAATATTGTAGTGATACAAAAGTTAAAGGATATGTTTGTTGGCTTTGCTCAACCAATTTACAATAAACATTTGTTTGTTGCCTTATTAATTATTTTCGTTGACAAGACGTCTAGAAAGAATGTGGTATTTCGGTTTTATTCCTTTCTGAAAGTGATTGTTTAATGTGCTCTGTTGAACGTTTTTAGTAGGTCTTTTTCAGCCTTGACCTTGTTATTTATTACTATCATTTACTTCCTTTATGGAAAACATTATCAGGATAAAAGTCCTTAAAATATTCTCCGCGAGTAAGAAGCAGCTTACCTTATCGATTTGAGTCTGGTTGTTGTTCTCCAACATTTGAACTATGCAAAAGCCATGAATGGCGAATGCCTATGAATAGTTGCTATTTCCATTCGTCATCACCTTTCTATGGTCGATTTAGTATATTATAATAGAGAGCAGTTTATTACTATGTTCTAATGAATATTATTTCTGGCCTAGTGGTTGAAGCTCTTGGCTTTCAATCAGTAGATTACAGATTCGAATCCCACTTAACCTACTTTGGTTTGGACAATCGGGTAATATCACTAACCCTCATGCAATGTTACTGAAAGTCGTATTTGTCTAACATATACTTAGTAAGTGGGTCACAAATATTATTACTTACCCGGAGGATATCCTGTGAGAATGTGCTGCTCTGTTAATATTCACTGTAACCTGTCATATTTTGATCAATATTTTATCGTCTCTAATCAATCAGTAATCAGTAACATGTACCATGAATAATAGTAGTGAATGTCAGGATTGTGTTATACGTCGAAAGGTGTTATTTCTTGGAGCTCACCTAAGTTGACCTTTTATAGTTGGTACTTGATATCATTCAGAAGCCTAATAAATAACATCAGTTTAAATACAAGAGCTTATCCAGATGTAAGTAATTCTGTCTAAACGCTCTCCTTTAAGTTCAAATTTCGTATCAATACATGTCGTTTCACTAAGATCATCCCTTAATTGACTACATAGTTGCTTTCATTACATAAACCTTGTTTTATTTATTCAGTAAATTAACTGAAATCACTGTCATATTCTTTTTAAACTAAATGATTTAATGCTCTATCATTTAAAATTTTCGATTTCCTTCAGTTGTCTCGGACTGCAGATAGTGGTGAGGATGCTTGTTTATGGTCATCAGGTCTCCTATCACGACGTTCACGATACTTATGTTATGCTTCAGAAAATATAAATACATGCGTAAGTTCAATGGTTCATTGATTTTCCTCATCAAATTATCCAGTAGCTTACTTACTGGTTAAGGCATTCAATTTTCAGCCATTAACTCCAAGGTTAGGAACTCGCCTCACCTACTCTGGTTTACGCTGCCAAGTTGTTAAGTATCACTAGCCGTCACACTTAGAGTAAGGCTCATAACTTAGCTTATTTTCTACTTTGTTTATCCTTTGAAAGAAATAAGAGAGGTGAACATATTGAATTCATAAATCCCGTATTTGGTGGATAAAAAAAATGGTTGTATCATCTGAGGAGGGATAATAAAGTTTTTTCATTGAAAAAACGCTTATAACATAGCTTATTATTGATAACAATTTAAATGTATGTTAGAAAAGATTTTGCTGCAAAGTTGCACAATTGGTGCTGATATAATACCTTACTGTGCGGTTTTCCCCCTCGAAATGCAAAATGTTGCTCCAAGACTGGGTTGCATCGGTACCTGAACTAGTGATAGGGAGTGAAGTAGTCCAATGTGTAGACCGCTTCACTTATCTTGGGAGTTTCATCAGTGCCGATGGCTTGGTGACTGACGGAATCTCAGCTCGGATACAGAAGGCTCGATTGACTTTTGCCAACCTGCGTCACTTATGGCGTAGGTGTGATATCCGTTTGCTGACTAAAGGATGAGTCTACTGCGCAGCAGTTCGCTCCGTCTTACTTTATGTCTGTGAAACATGGCCAGTGAGGTTAGAAGATATTCGTAGGTTACTGGCTTTCGATCATAGGTGTCTTCGAAGCAATGCTCGTATACCGTGGGACAACCGAGTAAGCAATGCTGTCGTTAGGAAACGAGTACTAGGCAAGGATGGCAGATCAATTGATGAAGTAGTGAAACTTCATCAGTTGAGGTGGTTGGGACATGTCTTGCGTATGCCCAACCACCGACTGCCTCGACGAACTTTGTTTTGTAGTGTAGGAGTAGGTTGGAAGAAAGTTAGGGGCGGCCAGACCAAAACATGGCAGAAATCCATGAAGTCATTGACTAGTGGACTTAGCCATGTCGGTAATTGTCGACTACCTGGTTGGGGTCCGCGAGATGATAATAACCGATGGTTAGAGACCTTGAATGACATGGCTCAAAATCGTTCGCGATGGCGCCGGTGAATTTATTCTTTGTGTTCTCTCAAACCCTAATCTTCTGGATTCTTCAACACCTCTAGTTTCGACTCTCTAAACTTATCTCACTGAATCATACTTCTTAAATAATATCTTCTAACCCTAACCTCTCCGATTACTTCTAATTCCCTTACTACCTTTACTACTATTGGATTTGAATTGACAATTATATCTCTGTGCTGATGTGGTATGGCAACATGAAATGATGTACTTACGTTCCAAGTTCTACGTTGTATCTGACTGACTGACTGACTAATACCTTACTGTAACAAAATTCATGATAATGAATAGGGTTATTAATATTCCTACTACCACTATAACTAACTATCATTATCGAAATTATGATTATGGATTAGTTTTGAAACATGATCGGTTAGATGATATTGTATCATTGTGTGACATCCAGTGCAAAGTCAGATTTGGAGTTAAGTAGTATTATATACAAATCTGATATTCTGATAAGCGTATGAAAAAACATTGATATCGAGCTAAGTAATCTAGGATGAGGGAACTGGTAGGCCGCTTTCGTTTCAGAGCCTTTATGGCCTCGAGACTGAACTGTTGTGGTGTTATTTGTTTTATAAACTTTTCAATTCCATTGGTTATAATGTACGTAGAGCCTGGAAAAATGTGCTTTAATCCAAGTTGTCATACCAGCAGATAAAACTACCAATATAAATAATAGCGAAGGAATCGAAATAATGATAATAAAAAAGACTAAGTATAGTTTAAAAAAAACAATCAGAAAGTTTAATGCACCGCCCGAACGATAAGAGATTTAATAAAGCTATATTATTCACATTTTCGAAATGACATGGATTAGGGCGCTGGTAGTTTTGAATGTTCAACCAACTGACAGATTGCGTGATTTGACTGATTAGTGTTGTTTGAGCTTTCATTTCGTTTTAGTCATCAAGTACTAGTGTAGTGAACAAGAACACAGGTGGGGCAACCGGATTGTATTTAACGAAAATTACAGAGTTACTCAGTAAAATCGGAAAGCCATATCGTAAATCGTTAATTTGCAAAATATCATCAGTTCATCATATCGAACTGGACTGTTCCTGTTGCAAAACATCAATCCATTGTCACTATTCATGTGTTTCATACGAATCCCATTGTGTTCTTCCAACTCTTCCTTTCTTGATCTTCCCCCATCTTCTGCTGCCAGACATTACGTTTTCACTCACGTCATATACTACTTATAAGTAGCTCACACCACATTAGGAGTATAGTTCTTCGCTTGTGTAATTCAGAAACATTTTATTGTGTTTAAAAACCATATAAATTATATTGGTGCGCGAAAATTATAATACGAAAAACAAACACTGTGAGGATAAAACTTGTAAACCAACACTATATTATTTATCAGTAAAAGAGCTGATGTTTATCGTATGATTTTATCTAGTTTTTGTGAAGAGATACATGATAAGTATTTGTTATGAAGCAAAGTTTTTTGTCATTTAATTTGACGAAATTTTTGGTTGTTAAAATCAATGAATAGAACTCTGACCTATATATAAATGGACGTCGTATATGATGTTTCCGAGTGATGTCTACTTACGAGATTGTATTATTAACTGAAGGTCTCCGAATAGTTAAGAATTGAAAACAAGACTACTAGCAGCAAACAAACAGTTCGTGTGAAAAATAACATGCTTATATAAAGAATATAAGTCAGTCAGTCAGTTGCAACGTAAGAACTTCGTACGTATGTACATAAGTTCATGTTGACATACCACATTAACACACAGAGACGCAAATGTCTAATCAAATCCCATAGTGATAAAGATAGTAGGGGGTATTAATGGTAATGAAGAAGACTATGGTTCGAAGATATTAATTCAGTGAGATAAGGTTAGAAAGACAAAGGTAGAGGTGCTGACGAATCCAGAAGATTAGGATTTGAGAGAGCTCAAAGAATGGATGCACTTGCGCCATTGTAAACGATTCTGAGCCATGTCGTTCAAGGTCTCTAACCATTGGTGACTTCCGTCTCGCAGACCCCAACCAGGTAGCCTACATCTATCAACACGACTCAGTCCACTAGTCAGTGACTTCATGGATTTGTGCCATGTTTTGGTCTGGCCGCCCCTAGCTTTAAAGAATATAAACACAATAAACGTGATAAAAATTCATAAAAAGTCGGAAGAAATTACCATATGACTGGCTCACTTATTCTCTAGTTAATTAAGATCTCTAACTATTGGATCTAATCGTTGGTTTAATCGCATCACTATCCTTATTAACATTCCTTACTTAAATGTCTGACATAATATTTTGTTAGTTGAAGTAACATTGTCAACTTTCATGATTATTATAGTCGTAAAAACTACTATGGTTCAGACAGATATTCTCACTCACTTTTGTCCATGTATGTATGTATGTATGTATGTATGTATACGTTGTTTTTATTGTGTAACAAACAGTTTTATTAATCATCTATTTTTTTTTTTTTTGCATTTATTTTTAACAATATAAGTCTGGACAAAAACCAATACTTGTTAATTTGGTACTAGTAGATGATGGTGAACATATTCCTGCACATCATCAAGCAATATATAATACAATCGATACAGGTGAGCATTAAGTTCACTATATCTGTATGTTTTTCATTTTTATACTGTATTTGATAAAACGTATTGATGATAGTAGGCAATAATGTCCCGACCGTAGCTGCTACCTTGATGTGGTGGTCGGGCTTGCCTATCGTGATGACCCAACCGAGCTATACTGGCTGGAACATATGTTCCTGAAGGTTCTACCATGCCAGGCAGGTCGATTGGAGAACGATGAGACTAAAAGCAGCTACTCAAGGTCTGAGGGTGAAGTCGTACTGCTGACTGTGATGGAGGGGTGTGACAGTAGTGAGGTGTTTCCCTCGGATAACCAGCATCTGCAGAGATGCTGCCTCTCACAAGGAAGGAAGGGTTAGAGAAGGTTGGCCCTAAAAATGTCACACCTCACCCTACCTCACGGATTTCCGTCTTCGGCGGTAAGGGTGCCCACTAAAGGCTTTTAACAGCAGATCTAATACTCAAAAATTCTTTCATTAAAAGGCCGTGCGTGACCGGCCTCAAGCAGTTGTCGGCTGGACTCTGCGGTCACGCTCCCAGGTCTCCAAGACCAACACTAATCTATCTTCCTTTTCAGGTCCCTCAAGAAACAACCTTCCACGGTGTGGGCAGCCGGGAAGTGACAATTGCCCTCATACCCTTAACAGGCAATAATGTTTTCATTCGACAATTCAAAGTATACTCCAGTAGCGAAGTTTCAATCTAGTTGCAAATCTAATCTTATCCACATTTGTGCAAATAATTTAATCTCATTTATTCAATTTTTTCTATTGTAGACAACTATAGAAACTAATTTTAATGAGAGAATTACCTGGTCGCAGTCTCTATTACCTATAAATAAATTACAATAAGACATTAGAAAAATTAAAAGCACTTGATGTGGTGTTGTTTCAGTCAGTTTCTTTCAACTTTGTTCTGCTCAAATTCTATGCCCTAAATCTTCTAGTTAGGGTTAGTTATAAGCTATTTTTGTTTAGGTTATCACTTCTAGTTTTAAATAATTTACAGATTTGTTTCGTTGACTTAATGGTCGAAGAATTTAACTTTCAACTGTAGGGTCTGTTGAGCTACTTTGATGTGGAAAATCGAGTTGTAGCACATACATATGTTAAGTGAATGAGTTTTGCTTAATAATTAATATCTTACTTTTAAATAATGACATGATATTTTGATTGATTGAGAGATTCTAACAATGATCAATGGTTTCATTTTTTTAGTTTAAAACAATTCAATGAAGAATATTTTCTCTCTTTTGACTAAATCATTTACTCAAGTTGTACAATTGTATTCATGGTTAATTAACAAGTAAAGTAGTCTTTTGAAAAAAATGTAAGGGTTACATCATTTCGTGTAAAAAATGTCAAACGAAATTCATTCTCGTGTGCTTCTATGGTTATGAGGGCGGATGTTACTTCCCACGACTTCCCATATCGTGGAAGGGCTCTGGTTGTCAGAAGAAGCATCGACCTCGTGACTTCCGAAGGAACTCGGCTTTCATTATGAGACGTCATAACTCTTCTAAATGAAGACCTTCTAATTCCCAGAGCAGAGTTTATTAAATGGTTTGAATTATTTTTCCTTGTTAGCGTTTTTTTAGCGGTGTTAGTTTTTTTGCGGGATGAGGTCGCCAACCCCCTAGCCCAACCCCTCCTCCTATATCCGGGCTTGTGACTGGCAATAGCCTCGGAGGGTCTACATGCAGAGTTGCATAACAGTTAGAAATTCAAAGGGAAATAATGATGAGATTCAACCAAATACGTGATAGATAATTTAATTATTTACTTGCCGAATTCGATAACCTTAAAGAATATAATATATCTGAATAAAATGTAAAAATAATAGCAAATAGAATAGAAGGATATATTCACAAATAAATTACCGTTTATGAAAATTAGGTATGAAGGGCCACGAAACAGCAGAAATTCGCACTTGTCCTTTTTTTTTTTACACGGAGTTCATGTTTAAAAAGACGAACTGCTAAAGTCTCGTTAGTGCACAAATGTTACTGATCTGTGGTGTTATGATCAAAGCTACCGATTGCTTTTTAGTGCAATCAGTATGTAGTTAACAATGGAACCCAGGATGTACATTCCATTCTACTTGAGGACTTGTCACATGGATGTGTGGTGTGAGCTACTTATAGGTAGTATATTAGGTGAGTGTCAACGTAATGTCTGGCCGCAGAAGATGGGGGGAAGATCAAGAAAGGAAGAGTTAGAAAACGATGGAATTTGTATGAAACGCATGAATAGTGACAATGGATTGATGTTTTGCAACAGGAACAGTCCAGTTCGATATGATGGACAGATATTTTGCAAATGAACAATTTACGATATGGTTTTCCAATTTTACTGAATAACTCTGTAATTTTCGTTAAATACAATTCAGTTGCCCCACCAGTGTTCTCGTTCACTACAGATGTACCTGCATCCCATCAATAATATCCACATTGAAGCTTAAACTCAATGCTTTTCTCTTTGAATATCATCGTATTTCCTGTGTTCATTAGCTTTTGAGATAGGTAAACATTTTATTTATAAAAATTGGTATTTTCTTTAGTTTGTCATTTTCTCCTAGAATATATATGTGCATCACAACTTAAGCGTATTCACTCTGAAAACCATATCGTAATTCGTTAATTTGCAAAATATCAGTTCATCATATCGAACTGGACTGTTCCTGTTGCAAAACATCAATCGATTGTCACTATTCATGCGTTTCATACAAATTCCATTGTGTTCTTCCAACTATTCCTTTCTTGATCTTCCCCCATCTTCTGCTGTCAGACATTACGTTGACACTCACGTCATATACTACTTATAAGTAGCTCGCACTACAGTATTACTTATTGATATTCTAAAATGTACTGTTTCTATCTCTTAATGAACAACAATCTCCCCGTATGTTTTTTTGTTACCAATTGATTTTTTTTGCCACTTAGGTGAACGTGCTTTAAAAAGAAAAATTCTTTGTGCTAAATTTTCACCACGTTCTACAACTTCTCGTGCAATTACCAGAATTGGTGTTTACAGTCGTCCACGTACTACAACTGTTGGTTATACACGTATCGGGTAAGTAGTTGATTAATTTCGATACTTATTAAAATTTATTGAAATCATCAATCACCATTAGAAAACGTGGAAGCACTGAACCGCCGTTTCGTCCTGGTATGGGATTCGTCAGCAGTGCATATCCACAACTCTCGCTACGCTTGTGAATCAAACCCAAGACCTCAGGTCTCACGTGCGAGCACCTAACCTTTGAACCACTAAGCCGGCGGCATCCAACAATGTTAAGTCAGTTAGTTGAAACGTAAGAACTTCGTACGTATGTACATCAGTTCATGTTGCCATACCACATGAGCACAGAGACGCGAATGTCAAATCAAATCCCATAGTGATAAAGACAGTAGAGGTATTAATGGTAATGAAGAAGACCCTAACCCCACCCAGATAGCCTACATCTACCAACATGACTTAGTCCACTTGTCAGTGACTTCATGGATTTCTGCCATGTTTTGGTCTGGCCGCCCCTAGATTTCTTCCAATCTACTCCTACACTACAAAACATAGCTCGTCGCGGCAGTCGGTGGTTAGGCATACATAACACATGTCCTAACCACCTCAACTGATGAAGTTTCATTACTTCATCTATTGACCTTCCATCCTTACCTAGCACCCGTTTCCTAACGACAACATTGCTTACTCGGTTGTCCCATGATACACGAGCAATGCTTCGGAGACACCTATGATCAAATACTAGTAACCTTCGAACATCTACTCTTAACGGCCATGTTTCGCATCCGTATAGGTGAACAGAGCGAACTACTGCGCAGTACACTCGTCCTTTGGTTAGCAAACGGATATCACGCCTACGCCATAAGTGACGCAGGTTGGCAATCGAGCCAATCGAGCTTTCTGTATCCGCTCTGATATTTCGTCAGTCATCAGGCTATCAGCACTGATGAGAGCCTCCCCAGATAAATGAAGTAAGTGATCAACACCAACAATGTTAATGTTTAACTCTCTGATCAATCTAAGGTTTTAAAGAAGTTCAGTTAATATATAAAATAAAATAAAATAAAATTAAAAAAATCAGTCACATTTATATTGTTTTAATTAATTTGCAGTCAAATAAATAAAATGTTAAAATATCAATTTTTCATTGTTCAATGATATTTTTTTATCTGTAAACAATTTTTTTTAAACACACCACAATGTACATACACACACTTGTTATTTTTTTTTAATTTTTCTTTGTATTTTAATTACTTACTTATTTTCTATTTCTACAATTAGATGATTGAATGTTTTTTTTACATTTTTTTTTAAGAAGTAAAGAACCATGTTTTTTTTCATTTATTTTAACAATTCTTTACTTTTGTTTAAAGTATATCAACCAACACAGTTAGTTATTTTTCATTTCTATTTTCCATTAGATTTAATGTTATAACACTAAATTAGAGAATTGATTTAATCTTTTTTTTTATTTTTTTCAACTATGCATAACTCTCTTTATGTATGTATGATAGATTTGTTTATTGTCCAGGTGTGTCTCTGTGTGTGTGCGTGTGTGTGTGCGTGCGTGTGTGCGTGCGTGTGTGTGCGCGCTAACAAGAAAGGACTTTTATAGTTGATCATTTTACAATGGACATTGTTTACTTTGGTAATTATTAGATAGATCAATTTTGCATTAAATTAACTAATCTAGTCACTAGATTAATAGACTCCATAAAAAGAAAATCACAATATTTCATCATGTCCGTGATTATACTGATATACTTGACTTAATTAATTATTCGACTCCTTGAACACCACTGGTCGAGTGAGAGCTTATGGCGAACTGTCACTGGAATTCTTTACTTCAAGTGGTGTCCGTCAGGAATGTTCACTGTCTCCATTCTTGTTTAATTTTATCATAGACATGCTCTTAGAAATAACCGTATCCTCGTTTGAATTTTCAAGAGTAGATCTATTACCTACCAGGAGGCTCGATTATTGACTTAGAATATGCCGATGACATTGTCCTACTTGGTGAAGACGCTGACAAAATGCAGAGTCTTCTGATTACCCTAAGCAACAATGCAAGCATGTTCGGGATGCGGTTTTCTCCGTCGAAATGCAAAATGTTGCTTCAAGATTGGGTTTCATCGGCACCTGAACTAGTGATAGGGAGTGAAGTGGTCGAACGTGTAGACCGCTTCACTTATCTTGGGAGTCTCATCAGTGTCGATGGCTTGGTGACTGACGAAATCTCAGTTCGGATACAGAAGGCTCGATTGGCTTTTGCCAACATGTGTCACTTATGGCGTAGGCGAGATATCCGTTTGCTAACCTAAGGACGAGTGTACTGCTCAGCAGTTCGCTCTGTCCTACTATACGGATGCGAAACATGGCCGTTAAGAGTAGAGGACTTCCGTAGGTTACTAGTCTTCGATCATAGGTGTCTTCGAAGCATTGCTCGTGTATCCCGGGACAACCGAGTAAGCAATGTTGTCGTTAGGAAACGGGTGCTAGGTAAGGATGGCAAATCAGTAGATGAAGTAGTGAAACTTCATCAGTTGAGGTGGTTGGGACATGTGTTACGTATGGCTAACCACCGACTGCCGCGACGAGCTATGTTTTGCAGTGTAGGAGTAGATTGGAAGAAAGCTAGGGGCGGCCAGTCCAAAACATGGCAGAAATCCATGAAGTCACTGACTAGTGGACTGAGTGATGTTGGTAGATGTAGACTACCTGGTTGGGGTCCGCGAGATGATAATAATCGATGGTTAGAGACCTTGAACGACATGGCTCAGAATCGTTTGCAACGGCGCAGGTGCACCCACTCTTTGTGTTCTATGAAATACTAAGCTTCTGCATTCCTCATAATCTCTATCTTTCTCATTCTAAATTTAGCTTACTGAGTGATACTTTTTGAATCATATCTTTGCTGCCTAATTTTCTCCATTGCTGCTAATACTTCTATTATAGCTATCACTCTTGGATTTGAACTAACAGTTGCGTCTCTGTGCTGACGTGGTATGGCAACCTGAACTGATATACTTACGTACGAAGTTCTGTGTCATATCTGTCTATCTGTCTGTCTAATTATTCGACTCAATGGTCAGGAATTAAGCATAGGGTCAAAATATCAGTGTACTTAAATATAAAATGAGTCAATCAGAAGTGGTCAACTTAAGAGGCTATTTGATGACCACCTATATAAATGTCCTAAAGGATGAATGCATATGGTTGGTCAAAAAATCGATTTATTGTCTAAGGAGGATGATTGTATATATAGCCGAATGAGCTTTCTCGTCTACTCTTGTCTTCTCGCTCAAGTAGTCAAGTTCAAGGGGGGGGGGAGAGGTTAGTGCATATCACGACCAGATGTCGGATACAGCAGATCGATAAACAATACTGTCACATGCTAAAAAGGCAGTCAGCAAGTATAATAGGTTAGATCGGAATCGAAACAAAACAAAAAGTTGAATCAGTTTTTGAAAAGAAAATAGTTGCTTTTATATTCAATGTAGACAGATGCTTATGTCGATCACAGCATATGTATGTAGAATAGTTTGGAAATTGTTTTAATTGTTTGTCACAAATTTTCTATTTGGATTATAATGAATTGAAATCAATTTTAATTGACCAAACTGTGCTGCGTATTCTGTAGACATGAGAAGACTGAGGCAGGCGCGGAAGATTGTATTATGCAAACTTACACTCTTAGTCAATTAAAAACAAAAACATTACATTGAACATTCTATTTGCACACCATCTTTGAGTCGTGACTTCCAATACTCCATCATCCTTCTTCCATTCCTGCTGTTGCTTCCTTTACTTCCTGTTGGTACTCTATTTACTTCTTGCTTTTGCTCCATTTGCTTTCCGTTTTCCTCTAGTGACCGTGAGCCTTCTTCTTTCACGTCCCTTCTTATACTACTTATATCGTTCGTATAAGTAGCACACACCACAGACAGACCTAATAATCGATTATTTAAATGGATAGAGTTGAAAGTAATAGACTTCGTGGTTAGACGAGTGTTATTCTTAAATTTTTATGCTTCACTCTCTCCATCCCATTTGGAATGTATGCTGTTCTTTTATTGTCTAGTAGTTCCTGATCACAGTAATTCTGTCAAATCTTCACCAGATCATAATAAGAATTCACCACGAATAATGTTATATTCCAGTAATCCGAGCAATAAGTTAGGGATGTTAGATCCCCAGAACTCGCTTGGCAAATGTCTTATTTTGGATTTCACGTTCGCGAGCATGAGCTTATCAGTTGACCTTGAGATTTCATTTCTCACGAGGAAAATCCTTGGCTGTGATTGTCTGCTGTGTATTTTAGTGTGCTATTTTTGTGACGTTCCTGTGATGTATAAATAAACGAGAGTTGTGTGCTTGATTGTATTGTGCTTGCTGGGTGCTTTTGTAGAATATAATTTCCACTCTTATCAGGACTTCTGTTTTGCCGTTTTCGGATCACAATAGCCTACCTGGACGCTGGCTCATTGTCTCGTTCGAGTTTACCGACTAAGGTAAACCCGCGAATTCTAAGCTTCCGCATTCCTCATAATCTCTACCTTTCTCCTTCTAAATTTATCTAACTGAATTAAACTTCTCGAATCATATCTTCGCTCCCTAATCTTCTCCATTACTGCTAAAACTTCTATGATTGCTATCACTGTTGGATTTGAACTGACAGTTGCGTCTCTGTGCTGATGGGGCATGGCAACCTGAAGTGATGTACTTACGTACGAAGTTCTGCGTTGTATCTGTCTGTCTGTCAAACCCGTAATAGCTTCAAGCGTACCTAGTGATGAACCTAACACAATAAAACAGAGTTTATATCGAATTTAGGTAAGAATATTTTCATATCTTTTCAGTCCTTCCCTTAGCCCTGATTGATTGAATGATGAACCAGTCAGCGTATTCCAGTGTTAGCCTATTCAGAGTGCACAATACTCAAGACTCACACTTCATTAGTCAACTATCGACCACCAGATTTAAGAACCTATTATCAAGGTCATTTTTTGTGCACCATGTTAAAGTTAATGTTGTCTTATTTAAATTGATCCTTGAACCAATTATCAAGTGACCAGTTTATTATTTATTTACTGAAAATCAATTCATAATCGAAGTATTACTTAAAGTGTGTAAACTTGTAGTTTCACTTAAAGATTTTTTTCGTCTTTTATAATCTGATTTATCACAACTATACACAATAAAAAACATGAGTGCAGAATATTAATTATGACGCAGTTTATGCCTTGTTCCTAATGATCGCATACAGTTAGGTGGCGGGTTCGAACCCAGTTCTACCTATTTCAGTTTCCGGCAGCAGTTGGTTAGTTAGTTGGTTTTAAGAGCCTTTCAACATACAACATTGAATATCAAACTCAAAGTTGTTTCACATCAATAATCGTAAATGAAGTACATTATTATTATTTCATAAAATAAAACTACTGATATAAGTGTACTACTGTGTTGTGAGCTACTTATAAGTAGTATATGACGTGAGCGTCAACGTAATGTCTGGCAGCAGAAGATGTGGGAAGATCAAGAGAAAGGAAGAGTTAGAACACAATGGAATTTGTATGAAACGCATGAATAGTGACAATGGATTGATGTTGTTTGCAACAGGAACAGTCCAGTTCGATATGATGAACTGTTATTTTGCAAATGAACAATTTACGATATGGTTTTCCAATTTTACTGAGTAACTCTGTAATTTTCGTTAAATGCAATTCGGTTGCCCTCACCTGTGTTCTCTTTCACTACATTTGGTGTCGCTGCCTGCTCGAAGGAAGGAGCTCCCGTGGCCGAAGGAGTTGGAGGACGGAGATTTGCGGAGCTTCCTGGAGGAGTTTGAGGCCAAGGTGGAGCTGGTGGGGGCCCGGGGTGGAGTTGGCGGTGCTTGGGACGCGGAAGGGAGGTGAGGCGACGGCGGTATACGACAGCCTGGACGGTGCCGCCGGGAAGACGGCGTGGGAGACGGTCAACGGGCGGCTAATGACGGATTTCGACAGCCCGGTGGACAGGGAGGAGTCGCCGCAGATGTTCCGGTTCGCGAGGCTGTCGGCTGATAGTGACCCGTTGGTGCCGGCTGTGGAGCTCACGATGTTGCTGTGCCGTACGCTGCCGAGTATGGATGGGGAGTCCGGGGCACAGTTGTTGGCGTCGCAATTTATCGAGAGTGGGCCTGACGCCGTGTCCCAGCAGCGGGAACTAGTAAACGCTACACGTTGAATAGATGCCGTATCCATTCCAGACCAGCGCGCAAGAACGATGACCGAAGTGGTAATCCGGCATATTGTAGCGTGTCACGGAATACGGAAGGTGATATTAACTGACCAGGGGCCCTGTTTTGAAAGACTACGACGACAGCTTATTAAAAGGGGGGACGAGTGTGGTGTGAGCTACTTATAAGTAGTATATGACGTGAGTGTCAACGTAATGTCCGGCAGCAGAAGATGGGGGAAGATCAAGAAAGGAAGAGTTAGAAAACAATGGAATTTGTATGAAACGCATGAATAGTGACAATGGATTGATGTTGTTTGCAACAGGAACAGTCCAGTTCCATAGGATGAACTGATCTTTTGCAAATGAACAATTTACGATATGGTTTTCCAATTTTACTGAGTAACTCTGTAATTTTTCATTAAATACAATTCGGTTGCCCTCACCTGTGTTCTCCTTTCACTACACTACTATCTGTTAGTTAGTATATTTTCATATATATAAGCTATTTATATTCATTTCTTACCTTCATCCCCTAATTGATCTCCTTTTTTTTACTGCTTATTTCACAAGTGATATCAATTCCATTGGGATTTATTGTAAACACACTGAGATTGGTTTGCCTAATTCAGAGAGATCATCTAGTCAAGTGAAACAACCCGCTGCTCCACCAATTCCAACTCGACCATCCTATCCAGATGCGAGTTATGCAGGTTATCCAAATTTATCTGCATTGTCCTCATCATCAGTAAGCAATGCTTCTTCAACTTGTGATGCATTCGCTACAACACGACGTGGAACAGTACATCGTATGTAGTTTTCTCTCGGATTGTTATATTATTATTATTATTATCATTACTACTATGTTTGCATTGTTTAGGAGCTGTGTTGACATGTGTGTGTGTGTGCGTGGAGCGTGATAAAATTCAATCAGTACCAAAAAGAACTTGACATACATGATATTGGTCACTACTCAGTCAGTTGAAACGTAGAACTACGTACGTATGTACATAAGTTCATGTTGCCATACCACATTAGCACAAAGACGCAGATGTCAAATCAAATCCCATAGTGATAAAGATAGTAGGGGTATTAATGGTAATGAAGAAGACCAGGGTTCGAAGATATTATTCAAAAAATATATTTCAGTGAGATTATTGTAGAAAGAGAAAGATACAGACAATGAGCAATTCAGAAGATTAGAATTTGAGAGAATACAAAGAGTGGATGCACTTGCACCATCCCAAACCATTTTGAGCCATGTCGTTCAAGGTCTTTAACCATTGGTGACTTTCGTCTCGCGGACCACAACCACCTAGCCTACATCTACCGACATTGCTCAGTCCACTAGTCAGTGACTTCATCGATTTCTGCGATGTTTTGGTCTGGCCGCCCCTAGATTTCTTCCAACCTACTCCTACACTGCGAAACATAGCTCGTCGCGGCAGTCGGTGGTTAGCCATACTTAACACATGTCCCAACCACCTCAACGGGTGAAGTTTCGCTGCTTCATCTATTGATTTGTCATCCTTACCTAGAACTCGTTTCCTGACGACAGCATCGCTTGTACGGTTGTCCCATGATACACGAGCAATGCTTCTAAGACATCTATGATCAAATACTAGTAACCTACGAACATCTAATTTTAACGGCCATGTTTCACATCCGTATAGTAGGACAGAGCGAACTGCCGCACAGTACGCCCGTCCTTTGGTTATCAAACGGATATCTCGCCTACGCCATAAGTGACGCATGTTGGCAAAAGCCAGTCGAGCTTTCTGTATCCGGTTCGAAGATATTATTCAAGAAGTATAATTAAGTGAAATAAGGTTAGAAAGACAAAGGTAGAGGTGTTGACCAATCCAAAAGATTAAGATTTGAAAGAGCACAATGAATGGATGCACTTGCGCCATTGCAAAAGATTTTGAGTCATGTCGTTCAAGGTCTCTAACCATCGATTACTTTCGTCTCGCGGACCCCAACCAGGTAGTCTACATCTACCAACATGACTCAGTCCACTAGTCAGTGACTTCATGGATTTGTGCCATGTTTTGGTTTGGCCGTCCCTAGCTTTCTTTCACTACTCAATAATCAATCAGTCAAACAGTTACAACGTAGAACTTCGTACGTACGTACGTACATCAGTTTAGGTTGCCATATCGCATTAGCACAGAGACGCAACTGTCAGTTAAAAACCCATATTGGTAGAGATAGCAGGAGTGTTAGCGGTAATGTAGGAGGGTAGGGTTCGAAGATATCATTGCAGAAGTATGATTCAGTGAAATTGTTGTAACGCTTGCTTTTAATAGCTAACAGCTAATTCCTATTGTTTAACATTCTCTGACCACACAATACACTGGATAAGTTCCAAAGAATCAAAAACACGGTGGAACAGGAAAAGAGATTATATTCCAAATAGCGAGGTTAAATGGAAATAAGAAGCCGAAGGCGAAATGAAGGCGAAAAAGAAACAACCTTAGTTTCTTTATAGTATTTACATGAGAAGCTTCTGGATTTTGAGATGATGGAGAAAACTTGTAGCTCAGGTGGATGATTGTGGTGGTGTTTTGTTCTCTGAGCTGGTTGTTTTGGTTGTGGAGCTTTCACTGTTCTTCTGAACAACATCATCAGCACAAACTTCAGATAGAAGTGAAGCATTCGAATTTCTCCACGTTTGACCTGTAGCTTGTTCTGTTAACCTCGATCTGGATTGGTTGCTGTTGTCTTTTGACCTGTCGTTGTTTGCAACTTTGTTTTGATTGCACCCCCCTTTTGATCTGTTTCTTGATCCTATGATTTTTCTGATTGATTGATAGATTGAGTCATTGTCGATGTGTTTGTTGATTGCTGATTGGCCTGAGTGCCAAGCTTCTAAAAATTCTCTAGTGTTCTTTGTCCTCCCCCTACCCAGTATTTCCACATTGTTCCAATCAAACGTGTGTCCATAGTTGTCGGTATGTATTGAGATAAGCTAGGCGTTCTCGTGGCGTTTGACTGCTAATTGATGTTCACGTACACGGAGCTGAAGAGGTCGTCCACTTTGTCCTATGTAGTGTTATTCACAGTTTGAGCAATTTATTTTTGTAGATGATATTTGGTTTTTCTTCCTTTGTCATTTTGTCCTTTGGTCTACATAGGATAGATTGAAGTGATTCTGTTGGTTTGTGTGCCGCACCCATTCCAAATGGTTTCAGTAGTCGTGCCGTATGCTCCGATATGTCTTTGATGTATGGTAGGTAGGATGATGCGTTTATTTGTTTCTGTGCTTGATTTCGTTTCTGATGATGGTTTGTAATGTGCACCTGATCGACTGGATTAGATTTAGCCAATCAGCGTGTGCAGCTAACAACACGAGCATTTTCTACCCTGTTCTCCAAGAATCGATCAAGCGCTGATTGGATAGGAAATTAGCCAATTTATAGGTTGTCACTACATCTTGATACATAGGTTGAAGCGAATAACCATTACTAATACGTTTACACTTTTAGGAGCTGTTTTCATGTTTGTGTGTGTGTGTGTGGAGCGCACATGATTATGAACAATGTAATAACACATCAAAGTAGTAGTACATGTGATGATGTTTAGTCATTTAGATCACATCAGCTGACGACTACATTGCAATTTGCATGATAAAATTCAATCAGTAAGTACCAAAAAAAAACTTGACATACATATACTGATGTGATATTCAAATAAGAGAATTTGTTTTGTTAGTGTCAATAGTGTGTTTGTGGTATATTTTTTTTTATTTGTAAAGAACAATCCAATTACCGATAATAAATTCATATTGCAAATTATCTCGAGAAAAAATGTACTTCACCCATAAATGCACACGCACACACATATATATAAATATTTACACGCTTCAACACCTTAACTGACATTTCAATTATTGTGGTTTTAAATTGACCACACTTCGTTTTGTGGTCGTTACTGATGTTTTAATAAGTAGTAGGTTGACAAACAATCAATGGAGAGTATAGAAAGAGGTATATCTTAACTAAATCACATTTTAAGTTTTTTTTCTGTCGTAGTCAACATGTGTTCGCACGTATGCCTAACCACTGACTGCCGCGAAGAGCTATGTTTTGCAGTGTAGGAGTAGGTTGGGTGAAAGCTAGGGGCAGCCAAACCAAAACATGGCAGAAATCCATGAAGTCATTGACAAGTGGACTGGGTCATGTCGGTAGATGTAGACTACCTGGTTGGGGTCTGCGAGACGACAGCCCCCGATGGTTAGAGACCTTGAATGACATGGCTCAGAATCGTTTGCAATGGCCGGAGTGTATCCACTCCTTTGGTTCTCTCGAATTGTAACCTTTTGAATTCCTCATCATTTCTATCTTTCTCCTTCTACATTTATCTTACTGAATTATACTTCTCAAATCATATCTTCGCTCCCTAATCTTCATCATTACTGCTAATACTTCTATTATTGCTATCACTGTTGGATTTGAACTGACAGTTGCGTCTCTGTGCTGATGGGGCACGGCAACCTGAAGTGATGTACTTACGTACGAAGTTCTACGTTGTATCTGTCTGTCTGTCTGTCGTCATCAATATTCACGATGTGCACTGTTTTATGAGTGTTATAATTTTCTCTTAGTAAACTCAGCTATTCCTGTTGCTTAGTATTCTCTGACAAACAATACACTCGACAAGTATCCAAATCAGAACACGTTTGAACAAGAAAAAGATTATATTCCAAATAACAAGGTTAAATGGAAGTAAGAAGCCGAAGGCGAAGGCGAAAAAGGAACAACGTTAGTATCTCTATAGTTTTTACATGAGAAGCTTCTGGAATGTACTTCACCTGATCGACTAGCGCTGATTGGATAGGAATTAGCCAATCAGCGCGCAGCTAATACAGTCATGCTTTAATCCATTTACGTCTCGGTAACAATGAGAAACAAATGTGATTCCTCACATTGATTTACTACAGTGGAAAAATGTTTATTTCCTTCATTAGTTTCAAATGTTCTTTTAATTTTTTTTCACGGTTATGTAAAATGCTGTAGTGTTTTTGTTAGGATATTCATCCAATATCCTAAGAGAATTATTGGTCAATTCCTATTGGTTGATTCCTACTGGTCAATTTTATGGTAATCCTAGATATCAGTGTCACATGCTCCAATGTTGTTTCTTATTGGTTGTCCTGACTATCATTGTCACTCCAAATGTTGCTTCTTATTGGTTGTCTTAACTGTCAATGTCACAGACTTCGATACTGTTTCCTATTCGACCAAAATGTATAAATAAGCATTATGTGTAACGTTTTATGACCATGACCAGGACCTGGCCCCGGATCCGCAGTCCGGGATCCTGATTCTCTTCTGGATTCGGACCTTGTACTTTCTGGATGCTTGTAGAATACAGGTTCTACTTCACATCAAGTCTTCTTATTTTTTTTCTCAATATGGGGGGGGTGGGATAATCGGATTTGAGTAGCATGTCGTGTCGTCGGATCCTCGATCCTCGCTCTCGTTTTCCGACTAATTGTAAACTCGTAATAGTTCAAGCATATCAAGTTGACGTATTTACATGCAGGCGTAACAGTTTTGTTTCCATTTACTGTTTTCAATCGTCACCTGAATTATGTTCGTTCTTTAACTGTATTATAAAGTTAGGAATTGAGATGATTGGAATTGCCTCAAAGTATTTTATTATTTACTTGGGGGTTAGGGTTTGGTGATGGGAAAGCAGTAACTATCAACAATAACACATATAATATATAAAAGGGTAAGACAATCAAAAATGGGAACTAGAAGTTAGTAGAGTAAGATTTCAATTGAGTTACACTAGTTTCACTTGTTGAATCGTTTATTAAATTTTTTACACATTTGAAATCATCAATCAATCTTTGTTAGACCACCATTAGAAACCTGGAAGCACTGGACGGCCGTTTCGTCCTGGTATGGGACTCATCAGCAGTGCGCATCCACGACTCCTGCTCCTCGCAGGATTCGAACCCGGGACCTTTGGCATTGTAGGCGAACGCCTTACCATCGGACCACTGTCAATTTTTGCGTCAATCGTCTTTTATTTTTATTATTAATTATTGTTGATTTCAGTGTCTGATGTTTGATTCCTTTTTTTTACATTCTCTCTTAAACAATTTAGCTCTATCTGGTGTTCCTTTCGAATTAAACAAACGTTATCTTATCAGTGAACCAGATGAATATAGAGTAAGTAATAAGTTTTATGTTTATTTCAAAGGTAGTGTATCATTCATTGTCTTTTAACATTTATTTATTTGTTGATGGAATAATTTCAAATAATGGCAAGGGTAGTAATTTTTTCCATTGGAATAAAAAAAATTACATCATATTTGATAAAATCCAACATGTAAAGAAGAGATCTTTTTTTTTAAGTCTGGTAGTCAAATATCGAGTCAATTAAATATGATGGTTGCTTTTTTTATTACTTAACCTTGTCAGTCTCATTTAATGACCAGTTTTATGATTGACAAGGTTAAGCAATAAAAATATAAACCGGCGAAACATGGCCGGTAAGAGTAGAAGACATTCGTAGGTTACTGGTTTTCGATCATAGATGTCTTCAAAGTATTGCTCGTATATCCTGGGAAAACCGAGTAAGCAATGCTATAGTTAGGAATCGAGTACTAGGTAAGGTTGGCAGATCAATAGATGAAGTATTGAAACTTCATCAGTCGAGGTGATTGGGACATGTGTTACGCATGACCAACGACCGACTGCCTCGACGCGCTATGTTTTGTGGTGTAGGAGCAGGTTGGAAGAAAGCTAGGGGCGGCCAGACGAAAACATGGCAGAAATCCATGAAGTGACTGACAAGTGGACTGAGTGATGTTGGTAGATGTAGGCTACCTGGTTGTGGTCCGCGAGACGAAAGTCACCAATGGCTAGAGACCTTGAATGACATGGCTCAGAATCGTTTGCAATGGCGCGAGTGTATCCACTCCTTGTGTTCTCTCGAATTGTAACCTTCTGAATTTCTCATCATTTCTATCTTTCTCTTGATAAATTTATCTGACTGAATTATACTTCTCGAATAATATCTTCAATCCTTAATATTTTCTTTACCGCTTATTCTTCTACTGTCTCTACCAATATGGGATTTGAAGTGACAATTGCGTCTCTATGCTAATGTGATATGGCAACCTGAACTGATGTACGTACGTACATAAGAAGTTCTACGTTGTAACTGACTGACTGACTGACTGACTCATTAAATGGGTAACTATTGTCGTTGTGGTTAGTTGATTACTTATGTATGAGTATTGAATTGCCAGTTCTGTTTTATTAAACTTAGGTATGTTTAATTTATTGCTTTAATTCATATAACTGTAGTGAGATCTTTTTACTGGAATTCTGCCATAAACCATTTACCATAATGTATATCACCTGCCTGTTGGATTCTTTGACATTTTATTAGAGTAAATGAATTTGTAATCTGTGAAATTAAGCTAATAGTAGGGATTGGGTGAAACAGTAAATCACTGATCATGTCAGATAAGGATCATTTTGAATCAAAAGTTGACTGGTTGTCTGAGAATGTGCTGCTAGTGGTTAAATATCCAACTTAGTATCATCTGAGTGATGTTTTGTTCGACTGTAGTAGACCTCAATGCTTTATGATTGAATTCATTATATATAGAGTCATGGTTTCTCACCAATTATAGTGAAATAACTTTCCAATACTCTAATTTTCTTTAGCATTCTACATGATATCTGTCAGATTCATCAGAATAAGTCATTCGATATGAATGAAATCAATGAATTCTTTCAGTTTAGAAAAAGTTATGTGTATATTTATAATTTACATTAAAAATCGGGTGCTACGTGGGAATGACAGATCAATAAATGAAGTAGTGAAACTTTATCAGTTGAGGTGGTTGGGACATGTATTGTGTATGCCTAACCACCGACTGCCTCGAAGAGCTTTGTATTGTAGTGTAGGAGTAGGTTGGAAGAAAGTTAGGGGCGGCCAGACCAAAACATGGCACAAGTCCATGAAGTCACTGACAAGTGGACTTAGCCATGTCGGTGATTGTCGACTACCTGGTTGGGGTCCGCGAGATGATAATAATCGATGGTTAGAGACCTTGAATGACATGGCTCAAAATCGTTCGCAACGGCGCCAGTGCATTTATTCTTTGTGTTCTCTCAAATCCTAATCTTCTTGATTCTTCAACACCTTTAGTTTTGACTTTCTAAACTTTTCTCACTGAATCATACTTCTTGAATAATATCTTCTAATCCTAACCTCTCCGATTACTTCTTATACCTTAACTTCCTCTTCTACTATTGGATTTGAATAGATAATTACATCTCTGTGCTGATGTGGTATGGCAACATGAACTGATTTACTTATGTATGAAGTTCTACGTTGCATCTGACTGACTGACTGACTTTCAAAGTGACTCAGTACAGATAGGAGCAAAAACTAATAACTAAATATGACTGAATGGATAAAAGATACATCAATCGATAAAGAAAGCGGTAATAATCCTAGCATATGTAGAACTTTGAAAAAAAAGCAAATTGATTGATGGTCTGTATCTGAAACTTGTTGATAGAACATGCTGACCAAGATATTCGTGGAGAAAGTAGAGTTGTTGTTCTTGAGTGAAAGCCTGCTTTCAATTTTGGCGAAATTCTCTCATTTTCGAACAACAAGAAATGTGTCACGCTCATATTGAGAAGAATGAGGCAGGCGCGGAAGATTGTATTATGCTAATTTACACTCTTAGTCAATCAAAAACGAAAGCTTGAACACACTATTTGCACACCATCTTTGAGTCGTGACTTTCAACGCTCCATCCTTCTTCCATTCCTGTTGTTGCTTCCTTTCCTTCCTGTTGGTACTCCATTCACTTCTTGCTTTTGCTCCATTTGCTTTCCGTTTTCCTCTTCTGACCGTGAGACTTCTTCTTTTACGTCCCTTCTTATACTACTTATATCGTTCGTATAAGTAGCACACACCACAATATGATCGATCATAAAACGCAAGGAAGAACTGGGATTTGAATTACGCACTTATATATTTGTTATGTCAGAAGATTTAAACGCAATATAGAAAGAATATTAAAGTATACATACAATAAATGTATATTGACTGACTACTACTCATCACATCACATCAATCGTGTATATCGTCGTCAGTTAATAACGATTATCGATTTCTCATAAAAAAAAATTAGTCAAACTTTACAAATAAAAAATTATACAAGCGATATAACGGTTAGGGCGTTCGCGCACAATACCGAAGGTCCTGGGTTCGAATCCTGCGGGGTGCAGGAGTCGTGGATGCGCACTGCCACTGAGGAGTGGTCCCATACCAGGACGAAACGGCCGTCCAGTGAGTGCTTCCAGGTTTCTAATGGTGGTGGTCTAATAACATTGATCAATTCATGGTTTCAAAAAAATGTGTAACTTAACAATCTTCACAACCCCCGTAATGCAAAAGCGATATCATTGACAAGTTAGTTGTATGCTTCTGTTTTTTTTTTCAGACTAATAATGCAACAGGAAAAAGGTACAAATCATTTGATGAAATAGATTCTGAGGTAATTTCCATAGTAAAATTATCATTTTAAATCTGAAACATTTTTTATTTTTTTTTATTTTCCCTTTATCCACCAATAAATAAATTTGTTATAATCGAAAGCATAGCAAAACAAAACAAAATTATCATAATGAAGATCACACAAAATGTTACTTTGAGCATTGCTGTTTTTTTGGACTCGAGATTGCTACAATTCAGATTTTTTTTATTATAAGATCAAAGGATATTATTATTATTGGGTAAATGTCATGAAAAATCGATAACAAACTGTCAGTATGTGTGTGTGTGTGTGTAGAAAGGATTTGATTTTGACTGATTTGGTCTGGTGTGCTGTTACGGGGTATGAGGGTGGTTGTCACTTTCCAGGCTGCGCACACCGTGGAAGGTTGTTTTTTCAGGGACCTGAAAAGGAAGATAGATTATTGTTGGTCTCGGAGACGTGGGAGCGTGACCGCGGAGTCCAAGGAACAACTGCTTGAAGCCGGTCACGTACGGCCTTTTTATGAAAGGTTTTTTGAGGATTAGCTCCGCTCTTGAGATCCCTTAGTGGGCACCCTTACCGACGGAGACGGAAATCCGTGAGGTAGGGTGAGGTGTGACATTTTTAGGGCCGACCTTTTCTAACCCTCCCTTCCTTGTGAGAGGGCAGCATCGCTGTAGGTGCTGGTTGTATGAGGAAAATACCTTACTGCTGTCATATCCCTCAACTGTCAGCAGTATGACTTCGCCCTCAGACATTGAGTCGCTGCTTTTAGTCTCATCGTCCTCCAATCGACCTGCCTGGCATGGTAGAACCTAAGGGAATATACGTTCCAGCCAATATAGCTTGGTTGGGTCATCACGATAGGCAAGGCCGACCACCACGTCAAGGTAGCAGCTACGGTCGGGCGATAAGAAACTGAGTGTAAGATAGTTGTTTACTCTATACTTATTGAAAGATAAAGAGCAAATGTATCTGAAACTGGGTTACATAATTGATTCCTGGTCATGTTGTTGTATGGTGTTAAAAATTATAAACGTTTATAAAAGTAGACGACCGATACCGCTTTCAAGATCGCTACATTGACTGGAATAATCATCGCTGTACTTGAATACATACACATTGTTCGGTTCATTGTTGGCACCTGGTATAATCTGAGTCAGACATTCTATAAATATCCTCAGCTTGAAGGCATCGATTTTCGCTGATTTTTTGGTGTGAAACTACGTGCTTACCATCTCATTAGATGCTTGATCTTTTGAAAATTGCAACTCAGTCAAAAAGTGCCCAAGATCTCTCAAGCCACTCAGTCAGTCAGTCAGTTACAACAGAGAACTTCGTACATGAATACATACGTTCAGGTTGCCATACTACATCAGTACAGAGACGCAACTATCAGTTCAAATCCCATAGTGGTAGAGATAGTAGAGCTATTACTGGTGATGGAGAAGATTAAGGTCCCAAGATATTAATACTCAAGAAGTATAATTCAGTGAGACAAGTTTGTATGTACCTGTGTGAGTGCATGGGTGCAGATAGTGACGACATAGAAGGCAAGATTAATCTATGAACAGTGAAAACCAGATTGGCTTAAGATAGAGTGGCTTTATCTTCTGCATGTCGTCTATTCCTCAAAACACCCAGATCGTGCCATAAATCCCGGTTTCCTAAGTCTAAAATTGCTCTCTTTCTCGGTGATCTACTGCATGTGTACACTATTAATCATGTATTTATTACACAGATCAACTCATTTTAATTGTAGTACCAATGTTTAAGAGCCAGTTTAATTCAAACTGTCACAATGTGCATAGAATAGTTTTTCAGTAACGAATGTCACCGCAGCATTTGATTACCCACTGAAAAGTATTATTCATTGGGTAGTTTAAATAAATGTTATATCATACCATTTCCTTTGGCTTATTTATATTATTTTATGTAGTTTGTCTAGGGATTTTTTTCGATCGACAATGTGTACCTGTTACATGCCGTCTCATGTAGGCGTAGAAAAGAACACTTTGTTTGTATATATGTATATGCAGTTTAGACTATACTAATCAGCTGTTCATAAAAATTAAGGAAAATTTTTGTGTATCTTTGTTAAGTAAAGAATTTGCATCTAGAAATCTCAAGAAAAATGTATAGACCAAGCAATACTTCTTTGGTCAGTCAGTCAGTCAGATGCAACGTAGAACTTCGTACGTAAGTACATCAGTTCATGTCGCCATACCACGTCAGCACAGAGATGTAATTGTCAATTCAAATCCAATAGTAGAAGAGGTGATAAAGGTATTACAAGTAATCGGAGAGGTTAGGATTAGAAGATATTATTCACGAAGTATGATTCAGTGAGATAAGTTTAGAAAGACAAAACTAGAGGGGTTGAAGAACCCCGAAGATTAGGATTTGAGAGAACACAAAGAACAAATACACCGGCGCCATTGCGAACGATTTTGAGCCAAGTCATTCAAGGTCTCTAACCATCGATTATTATCATCTCGCGGACCCCAACCAGGTAGTCGACAATTACCGACATGGCTAAGTCCACTTGTCAATGAATTCATGGATTTCTGCCATGTTTTGGTTTGGCCACCCCTAACTTTCTTCCAACCTACTACTTCACTGCAAAACAAAGCTCTTCGAGGCAGTCGGTGGTTAGGCATACGCAGTACATGTCCCAATCACTTCAAAATACTTCTTTGGGATTAATATTGTTCTCCTATTAACTTGTATTTGTATGTCACTCGACTTTTCTCAAGTCAGAACAAATTGACGGAGAACAACAGTATATATATTTCTATAGCCTGAACAATATAGATGAGTAATAGAAACATTACAGTTTATATAGAATTTTTTAAAAAAAGTGTTCGAATGTCTTCTCATTTTGTCCACTAGTTTTGATTAGTTTCAAGCTTGAACCAGCCATCATGTTCCATTTGGACCTAGTTGGAACACGGCACAAGTGCATCCATTCTTTGAGCTCTCTCAAATCCTACTTAATCTTCTGGATTCGTCAGCACCTCTAGCTTTGTCTTTCTAACCTTATCTCACTGAATTATACTTCTTGAATAATATCTTCGAACCCTAGTCTTCTTCATTACCATTAATACATCTACTATCTTTATCACTATGGGATTTGATTTGGCATTTGCGTCTCAGTGCTAATGTGGTATGGCAACGTGAACTTACGTACGAAGTTCTACGTTGCAACTGACCGACTGACTGATTGAGTTGGAACATATTCAATAGTCAGGATTATTTTACTAATAGTTGGTCTCTTAGTACCGGTTATTTATCATTACGTTAGATAACAACAGTCGTACAGACTTAAAGGTATTCATAGAAAAAAAAATTATTAGGTCATTCAAGCCAATAAATAAAGGACAATGTCAAATAAAATGCTTTCAGAGTATTCAATGATCTTTGACAAATAAATTTATATACTTGTAGTTCATAAAATATAAGAAAAACAACTGCACAATAATCGGTAGGAGAAAATCTTATTCACAGTAATAGTCAACTATCAGCGATAATTAAATTTTTATTTAATTGTAGCAGAACGAACACGTGTTACTTATTCACTACATATAACAACACTTATCACTACATTTTCATTGCTTTCTTTCCAAACTTTTCAGTTTCAATATCGTTTTGATCAGGAACGCTTTTTACTAGCAACATCAACTTGACCGACTTATTATCAAATGCACAGATAATAATAATAATAATGGTATAACGATTCATGTGATCTATATTTATTTGTACTGAATAATTCTCCTAATTTTTTTTCATAAAAAATGCATATGTAATTTCACTTTATATATATATATATATTGAAATAAAGTCGATGAGAAGATACGTTTTTTATTAAGTTCAAATTATTCTCTCATCATCTAATATTAACAATGATGTGCAGTTAGTTAATTAAGTGGATTTCAGTCAGTTGATGAAATGGTGGTTTACTCTATTGGTGAATGTTAAACATTGAGATGCTTTAGCTTGTAGGCGGCTAATGTATGTGATAAACTGTAGGTTCTTACCACTTATTCCATCCAATTTTCGCAAGTATCTAGGTCGTTCACACAGTTTATATCTGATTAAGTCAGTCAGTTAGTCGGTCATATGAACAGCCTTAGTCGTAAACAGTATTTACAACATAGTAGTAGATGGGTTATCAACAATTCATGATAGTGCTGAATCTGTGGGGTTTGGATAGTCACATGACTTGAGGCAGTAAAGTACCACCCATTCGAGTCATCGATCCTTGATGCTGATGTGTGTGTGTGATCTCGTTTAGTCAATGTTATGTATTTCTGCCTTTTTTATTTGTTTAGTTCATCTGTTGTTGGACAAGTCACATATAAGTTGTTAACCGTGTGAATGCTAAGCAGTCCTCGTAGTCTAATTTTTTTAAAAATGGGAATAAATGCATTTTACTCCTATATAGTCATTCTTAAAATGACTACATTACAGCTTCTTATCTATGGATTCATTTACACAAGTTTATGCATAAAGTATCTGAATACTGTGACGGACGATCTATATTCAGTCGACAAAGAAGATACACAGACCTCGGAACGAACCCATCAAGCTTTTAATGAATTGTCTTTTGACAGTATCGAGTTATCAACATTGGAATGAATTTATGACTTTGGATAGGTCAGACATTCCTTAAAAAATTGTTTCTAAGCCATGGATTCGGGTTTGACAATCAGATCTTGTTACCCAAAGATTTTGGAATGTAGGAGTAATGTAAGGATTCGTTACATAAAAACGATTGGGTCCCAAAGCTAGCAAATCTAACAACAAGAGTTTTTGAATTGTGCCACGTACATTGCGATAGTTACTTCCAAGATTAGGGTTAGAGATTTAATCATCATGACGACGAGAACAGGTGTTGTATGTTTTGGTAAAGTTCCGTCGAATAGAGAAAACTCGTGACCTTTATCGTCTTATCCATTTTTGGGTGATCTACTTGTTGAAACTGACCAGCTCTGCGAACATTAGATCTAACGGTGTGCAAATACTATCAGACTCTGGACAAATCCGTCCAGTCAAATGCATTCACACCCCATATGACTGGCCGCTGTATGTTGAATTGTGTACCGAACTTCTCTAAGACTGAGTGGCAGACGCTGATTTATCACTCGTCCATATGGCTTGGCCAGCACAGTACTGATCATGATTAATGAGTTGGTTTTGTTTAGTGGTACTAGCGTTTGATTATTTTAAAGTTCTATTTCCATATTTGTGGTCCTGGCTGCACATGGTTTCATTTCCAGTGTTTTGAAATCCGTCATTGGAACTTAGGTAGGGAGAGTGGAGTAGTGAGATGTTACTGGATCCTAGCCAGATCATTCAACAGGCCACTAAGTGACTGTAAAGCAGTTTATTGATCCCTGTCAGGGTCAACCAACACACATCAATAAATTGCACACCATGGACAGTGGCATGCAACAGAGGTTCCACCTTCTACTTCTGTTAAATGTTAATGCTAATATATATCACTTATGGAGGTGTTCATTCTAGTCAGTCCCTAGGTTATTACGATAGCACAACACAGGTTAAGCAGCAAAGCGACGTCAATGTAAGCTAGAAGGTCACACCATCCCCATCAAACTTGCAGTCATTGACTCAGATCATCTACATTGTTGGACCACAGGAAATGACCAAAGGGATCACTTACTGCTTGAGACATTTGTAATTAAAATAGTGGTAAAAAGACATTTACTATATCAGTGGTCAAAAAGTATTATTAAACCTTAATAGATGCTCTTTAAGAATTGTTATTCCCTTTGTTCTGGCCAGAAATTGGTAGTCATTAATAATATTGTACATGATTATTGACTTGAATGGGAATACCCAAGCGACGATAACCATACTCTACACTTGTTACTTCAAGTATGCGGTATTTCGGGTAATATTTTATCTACTCTCTACGAACATCCGGAAGGAAGCGTAATCTAGCCATCAGTTTATGGTATATTTGCGTAAATACTGCAGTTACATTGTTCCCAGCTTTATTGAGTGAATGTTGGCAGTTGCTGTTACACTTATCACTAGGTATGCTTAAAACTATTACGGGTAGCCCTAAGTCGAATAACGAGACAATGAACCAATATCCAGGTAGGCTGCTCTGATCCGTTTACTCAAAGGTACTAACGAGAAGTCTAGACATAGCATGTAAAGTGTATTCTACAAACACCCAGCCGACAAATAAGTCGCGTTTATTTACACACCATAGTGACGTCCTTGTGGGAGTCACAAAATAGCACACTAAAACAACAAGGCTTTTCCTGGTGGGAAATGTGATCTCAAGGTCAATTGATCAGCTCATGACTAAAATCCAAAATAAAGGCATTTATCAAGCGAGTTCTGGGAATCTAACATCCCCAACAGTTTGTCAGACGAAGTAAAAAAGCGCTTTATGGCATTTGGTTGTGTTATAGTTATGCAAATACTTTATGTACTGATTTAGATAGATAATAGGAAAACATTGGTGACAGGCAAACTTCTATAGCATGTTATTGACATTTTCAAATACTTTACAATTATATACACGTGCGAGGTTGTCACTTCAGGTAGTTCCGATGTTCTACCTATTTGACTACAGTCAATGATAGTTAATAGTAAGCGAAAAAAATGGCAACATGCAACAATATGCTACTAGTAACCAAATCCTATACCTTCTTACTTCCGATTTTAATGACCTTTATTCGCCATAAATATTCGATAGAAAAATTCTGGAGGTGAAACAAAAACTAAAATTCAAATTTACTTGTTCACTACTCTTCAAAGTGATACAAGTGACTATTCTAGAGTTATTACAAGGGAAAAGTTCATAAATATAATATATAATATATAATTCAATGTATCAAAATAATCTACTAATGAGTTTTCCACTTCTGTTTGTTTCGTATGCGTAAGTCCCACCAGGAGGAAACGATGGCTCTTTGGCACTAAACACTGAATTTCGTTAGGCAAAAGCTTCTGTTTTGCATATCACCGTCTGATACGTATTAGGCATCTGGATTATGAGAATTGATAATATTTATCAGTGGGATATTTTCCATGACTGATAACTGTTTGCATAGTGGCCTCCTAAGTAACATTTGAATGATATTCTAAGACAATAATGAATGTATTCGCAACCTTGGATCTTATTAAAACCTTCACATACGACGTATTTGGCAACGTTCCACTGGCATCGCAACACTTCTCTGCACTACTCTCGTACTTCTACGTTTTAAACCGCGAAAATTTGATATTAATCCTGATTTAATCTGCAAAGTCGTCTTGTGATTCAAAACTAAATGGAAATGAGTTTTTATTTTTGCTCTACATGGTATTGTAACTCTTGAGAAATTCATTTTCAGGTGCTGCTAGAACAATTCTTCGTGAATGGCATCTTTAGTAGGTATCTATTTTCATCTAGTAACACACTGAAATTAAATACATGATTTACTTCCATATGAAATCATGCGAATAGTTGATATATCGTCATGAAGCTGATGTTGTTGACAAGGCGACTGAAACTCTGCAATAATCAACAATATCGCAATAAGTTTTCTGTATTTAGTCTTCTTACTATGAGCGCTGGTTATAATTGCTATATTTATGCACCAGACGATAGCAACTACTAGTGAGCTGGAAATATTATCTTATCTTGTCGGAATTATACGAAACGAAATCATTGTATTTCAGAAAACAAATTATGTTTGTGTGATAGGGCAAATTTTTGCTAGTAACGCCGACGGTCACAAGAATCGTGTATATGACACGTTTGTCCGGCAATATATATCTCTTGACCTCATTACTCACTTACTTACTTACTTTCGCCTGTTACCCCCAATGGAGCATAGGCCGCCCACCAGTTTTCTCCAACCAACTCTGTCCTGGGCTTCCCTCTCCAGTTCTGTCCAATGTTTGTTCATTCCTCTCATATCTTTCTCTATTTCTCGGCGTAGTGTGTTCCTTGGCCTTCCTCTTTGTTACGGGAGAAACGAAGACATTTTGCTGATTAAAACCTTCATGTATAAATATAATTAATTTCACTGTTTTTTGGGTATATTTGTTTTACTTAACTTATGAACTTGTTTGAATTATTATTTGCGGACATATTGGACTCCCGTTTCTCTTTGTTGTTCGTTGCAGTTTTTTGCTCCAAGAGATAATAAATTAGAAGGTAACTGTAATTATTATAATTATTGTTGTTAGAACGACATTGGTCGTCTATTTGTAATAAATTATTTTGGTCGAATTTGTGATTTGGAATAAACTTTGGTATCTACTTTGGAGTTTCGTTCTTGGTATAGAAATTTGGGACCGTGAATTACAGATAGACGACAACAGTGCTTCATAAGATCAACGAGCAAAAAACTGGACGTAACAAAAGTTCTTCTAATATTGTAGTTGCTTTTAATTTATATAGCAAAGCTCCTAAACTCCATTGTAATTCGGTTTTGTTAATCTCAAGAGTAGGAATAAGTTTGTCATAATTAGTTGGAAAATGCAACCCTTTATGAAATGCACTAACTAAATATGAAGCTTTAAAGCATATTAATTTTTTGAAGCTTAAAAATGAATTAAATTTTTCTTCAGATAAATTTGGGTTTTCCTTCCTAAGTGTCGACAAATAGGTTGACCAGCGTGTACTACAAATTTCCTTGATTTTGTTTAATACTGAAGTATAATTATACTGAACAGGGGGAATCATTTTCAATGATTCTAACGTATAATAAAATTCACTAAGACCATAAAATTCCATTGAATTGAAGTCTGGATCTAATTGCACAATATTATCAATTGCACATGGCAATGGGGAACAACTTTGATTTAAATTAAGTAAAGGTTCTATATTTCGCAAACATTTTTCCACATCACCTGCTCCTGTATATTGAACAGAAAATATTTCATTCGCTGGTTCAGGGTTCTCACGAGAAGCAAGTTTACTCTGTACATCAAAGCCTTGAAGTAAGCAAGGATCCTCAACATTTGATGTATTTAATTTACCATTAATACCCGTGCCATACGTCCAGAAGAGGTATTCTTCATACCTTTGTCGAAATGCATTCATTCCAAAACCGAGATAACTTTTAACGTAGAGCTTGTATTGTTGACTCGTAGAAAACCAATTTTTCTGTAGAGAAAACTCTGATATTAAGTTGGATGGTAGGTTATCTGTCGATTGTACTTCATAGGCGATTTGCATACTAGCTCCACCCATATCAAGCATACCGTTGGTAGGTTGTTTAGTAGGCCCGTTATCCCCCGGAAGTAAACGAAACCGCCCAAGAAGGTAATTTACAGCGATCCACCCAAACAAACCTTCTTCTGTGCCAGATATAGTGTAGGCATGACAGTCTCTAAACTGAAATTTGTATGCGGACTTCACATGACTTCGGACAGTTTTCCAAATCACATCTTGTTTTGTCTGTGGAAGAAGCCTCATTCCTGCAGTAGCCATAATGAATAATGGGGTAGACGGTTGACTTGTCAAAGGGATATGTGAACCAGCATAATCCAGCAATTCAGATATGTAAGCAGGAATATCAGACAACTTGTCTCCAAAGCTCGAAAGACCAGGGGATTTTTTCTTCACCACAGAACTTCCGTTTACATCTTTCAAAATTTCCACATCTTCTAGTCCACTCAGTGACTCTGCTTTCGGCCTCCATGTGTAAACGAACATTCTTGAGCCGCTGCTGCCAGCATCAATAATAACAATATAATTTTGACCGACTGGTGCTGCTTCTAATTCATGCATTTCGAACAGAATAAAAACTAAATTTATGGTGTTCAAATACGTAAAAAACTTATGCCAGATCATAATTTAATGTAAACTGGCGAGAAAAAGAAAGCTCTTGATTTATATATAATTCCTGGACGTAACATGAAAACCATATTTCTGCTCAACCAATCACCTTGCCGACAAGCGACTAATCCCCCGATACCTGTAGTACGAGTCAATGATGGTGAAGTGCGACAGGTGGACAATTCCATGCTTGATTCCTCATGCTGCATATTCAAAACAACAGCATGTCCATTAAACCTAGATGACTCCTCATTGCACCTAGGGTACCGAATGTTAGCATTCGCAGTACTGCCGTCACTATAGCTAAAGCTATTGCCACCGACGCCTACGTTCTCCACTCTCAAACATCGAATTTCGTCTTGATTCGAAGTACTCAAAGAAGCTACATTAGCAGCGTCAACCGACGAAACAGCACTATCTATAATGATTCCACTATCGTTACCATCTCGTTTATTATTCACATCAATTACACTATTAATAGATACATGGGGTTTCACCTCCACCTTGACGTTATTGTTGTCGACAATGATGTTCCGACTATTCACAGTTAATGACGAGTTGCGAAATAGTTGGCATGCAGGCTTCAAAGCTACGCTACCACTTTCACTAACACTATCAATGTCGATATGACTACTTCGACTAGTATACGACCGTCCATCCGTTGACCGTAAACAAACATCAGCAGGACGCGCTAAGCTGCTATTATCTTCCGCTTCAATATCATGATGCTCCATAGAACTAGATATAGTAGCCTGCAGACATCCTGATTGCTCAGCAACATGAAGTGCTGTGTCACTATATACACTTGTTGTCCTAGCATCAACTCTAGGTCCTGTTAAATAATTTACCTTATTACGTTCAATATCACAATCCAAATACCTTTCGACCTTAGAATTTATCTCAGCTTTGTCTACTGACAGTTGGTTATCGTTTTCTATGAGCTTACATTCTAATTCAGCCATATCAACTTCCTCTTGAAGCTCTAACATTTTAAGCTGCTTTTCTAACTCAAGTCTCTTTTCCAAGTTCTTCTAATTTAATTTGTCATAAACTGGATTCTTCTGGTCGTTTGGCTCCAAAAGTTCTTCTAATTTAATTTCGTCATAAACTGGATTCTTCTGGTCGTTTGGCTCCAAAAGTTCTAATTTATATTCGTCATATATTGGATTTTTGGTCATTTGGCTCCAGAGGTTCTTCAATTCAATTTTGGTCGCTGGAAACTTTTGGAAATTTGGGTCCAAAGGTTCTTCTAACTTTTAATTTGGTCGTTGGATACTTTGGACAATTCAGTTTTGGTTCTTTGGTTATCTTTTGGATACTTTTGGACATTTTGTTATTATTGGCGAATACGTTTGGAATAATTTCATATGTTACGTCCAGTTTTTTGCTCGTTGATCTTATGAAGCACTGTTGTCGTCTATCTGTAATTCACGGTCCCAAATTTCTATACCAAGAACGAAACTCCAAAGTAGATACCAAAGTTTATTCCAAATCACAAATTCGACCAAAATAATTTATTACAAATAGACGACCAATGTCGTTCTAACAACAATAATTATAATAATTACAGTTACCTTCTAATTTATTATCTCTTGGAGCAAAAAACTGCAACGAACAACAAAGAGAAACGGGAGTCCAATATGTCCGCAAATAATAATTCAAACAAGTTCATAAGTTAAGTAAAACAAATATACCCAAAAAACAGTGAAATTAATTATATTTATACATGAAGGTTTTAATCAGCAAAATGTCTTCGTTTCTCCCGTAACACTCCCGACCAAAAGAACCTTGGTTCTTTTCACCGACAAGAATATATAACAACAATCCAAGTATGTGCATCACAAGCAATCAACAACAAACATTCAATATAAATTCTACACCGGCCCACAATATCCCTCTAAGCAAAACAAGCCCTTTCTAACACTTCAATTTACGGTTCATTCTCATCCCCTAATCCACACCGGAAGAACGAGTAGGACTTACAGCAGTACGCCTACCCGCCCTCCAACATGGATATGACCTATCAAACTATGAACCTGTACATTCCCATCAGGTCCTTGATTCCCCTATCTATCGTAGCATGACCTAACGGTAGTATAAACCTTATCCAATTCACCCACACGAACATGTGCAACACGTCGTAAAGCTGGTCATATCCTCTTAGAGATTTACTTTCCACCTCATGGGGATGAGTCGTCAATCCACCAACCATTGCTCCAAACAGCAGATACGATGAAGCCCGTGATGCTGACTTATCAACAGAAGTTCTTGACTCCCGTTTCTCCCGTAACACTCTTTTCCTTTTGCCTTGAGGGTTCCATGTGAGGGCTTGTCTAGTGACGCAGTTGGGTGCTTTTCGTAGTGTATGTCCTATCCACTTCCACCGCTTCTTCCTGATTTCCTCCTCCATTGGAATCTGACTTGTTCTCTCCCACAGTTCGTTGTTGCTGATAGTGTCTGGCCAACGAATACGAAGTATTTTGCGTAGACAACTGTTAATAAACACTTGTATCTTCTGGATGATGGCTTTGGTAGTTCTCCATGTTTCCGCTCCATACAGTAGAACTGTTTTGACATTTGTATTGAAGATCCTGATTTTGGTTTTGTTTGAAAGTTGTTTGGAGTTCCAGATATTTTTCAACTGTAGAAATGCAGCCCTTGCTTTGCCAATCCGCGCCCTCACATCTGCGTCCGATCCACCTTTCTCGTCGATGATGCTGCCAAGATATGTGAAGGTGTTAACGTCCTCCAAGGTATCTCCATCAAGCGTGATTCGGTTGGTGCATGTTGTGTTGCATCGGAGAATTTTGCTTTTTCCTTTATGTATCTTGAGACCTACTGCTGCAGAGGCTGCTGCTACACTGGTCGTCTTCTCTTGCATTTGTTGTTGAGTGTGCGATAGAAGAGCCAGATCATCTGCGAAGTCCAGATCGTCCAGCTGCGTCCTAACTGTCCAGTTGATACCGTGCTTCCCTCCAGATGTTGACGTCTTCATAATCCAGTCGATGACCAGGAGAAAGAGAAAGGGTGAGAGTAAGCAACCTTGCCTCACACCGGTCTTCACCTCAAAAGAGTCTGTCAGCTGACCTCCGTGTACGATTTTGCAGTTGAATCCACCATAAGAATTCCGTATGATGTTGACTATTTTCTCAGGCACACCGTAGTGTCGAAGAAGCCTCCACAGTGTTTTCCTATCCACGCTGTCAAATGCTTTCTCGTAGTCGATGAAGTTGATGTAGAGTGGTGAGTTCCATTCAATTGATTGTTCCACAATGATCCGTAATGTAGCAATTTGGTCAGTACATGATCGATCCTTACGAAATCCAGCCTGTTGATCTCGAAGTTGGGCGTCTACGAAGTCCTTCATTCTGTTTAACAATACTCTGTTGAAGACTTTGCCTGGTATTGAAAGAAGAGTGATGCCTCTGTAGTTCTCACACTTGCTCAGATCGCCTTTCTTTGGTATTTTGATGAGGTATCCTTCTTTCCAATCTGATGGTACTTGTTCCTCATCCCAAATCTTCTTGAAGAGAATGTGAAATATTTTCGCAGTTGCTTCCACATCTGCTTTCATTGCCTCTGCTGGAATGTTGTCTGGTCCTGCTGCTTTGCCGCTCTTGATTTGTCTGATGGCTATACTGATCTCCTCAATCGTGGGTGCGCCAATATTAATTGGGAGGTCCGTGGATGCTGCTTCGATGTTGGGTGGGTTCAGTGGAGCTGGTCGATTCAATAGTTCCTTAAAGTGCTCCACCCACCTATTTCGCTGTTCGTCAGTGTTGCTGATTATTTTCCCTTCCTTGCTTTTCACTGGTCGTTCTGGTTTACGATAGTTTCCGGCGAGCTTCTTCGTTGTTTCGTACAATTGTCTCATGTTTCCTTCTCTTGCAGCCTTTTCCGCCGTCATTGCTAGATCTTCCACATATTTTCGTTTGTCAGCTCTGATGCTCTTCTTCACTTCCCTGTTTGCTTCTGTATACTCGGCTTGCGCCTTAACTTTCTCTGCTCTTGTTCGGCTGACATTCACTGCTGCCTTCTTGTTCCTCCTTTCTTGAATTTTTTCAAGAGTACCAACAGAGATCCATTCCTTGTGATGGTGCTTCTTGCGACCAAGGACCTCCTGACATGTTGAAGTGATTGCCTCCTTAATCCCTTTCCAATTGTTCTCCAATGTTGCTTCCTCTCCATTGAGTAGATCCTGAAAGGCCTGGAACCTATTGGTGAGGGCTATCTTGAATTCGTTGAGTTTTACGGTATCCCGAAGAAAGGCCGTATTAAACTTCTGTGATGTTGTCTGCCCCGTTGTCCAGTGCTTCTTTAGCTTCAATCTCATTTTGGCGATCAGCAAGTGGTGATCTGAAGCTATATCAGCTCCTCTCTTGGTTCTCACATCCTCCATGGTCCTTCTGAACTTTTTGTTGATACAGATATGGTCAATTTGGTTTTGAGTAGTGTGATCCGGTGAAATCCATGTGGCTTTGTGAATGCGTTTGTGTGGGAATATTGTGCCACCGATGACCAGTTTGTTGAAGGCACATAGGTTTGCAAATCTCTCACCGTTTTCGTTCCTTTCTCCCAGTCCATGTCGTCCCATGATGTCTTCATATCCAGTGTTGTCCATTCCAACCTTGGCATTCAGGTCTCCCATAAGAATCGTCAAATCCTTTGGTGAACATTTATCGACGATTGACTGCAGCCTTTCGTAGAATTGATCTTTAACGTCGTCATTGTAGTCATTGGTAGGTGCATAACATTGGATGACGTTCATTGTAATGTCCTCTTTCTTTGTTTTGAAGGATGCTTTAATGATCCTCGGCCCATGAGATTCCCATCCTATCAGTGCCTTTTGTGCATGTTTGGACAGCATCAGTGCAACTCCTTGTGTATGTGAAGCGTTTTCCTCTTCATGACCAGAGTATAACAGCAGTTCCCCTGAAGCAAGTCTCAGTTGT